CACAGCAACAATCAATCGAATTAATTTAGAAAGTATGCGATTTGATAGACAAAATCACAAAAACCATAGTTTATGCCCGAAATACCTACATCTCGACCTACATACAAGCAAAATGGAAAATAATAAAAAAGTTAGTAAATGCTCATAGGAATACCAAAGACTACCACCAGAAAACCAGCGATTACCACTGACTATCATAGGAATACCACAGATTACCATTGACTACCACGGGAATACCAGAGAATACCACGGGAATACCAGTGACTACCAGTCATGTGTACGAAAGATTACCACACCGACTAACCCCTCGCACTTTACCTACATAAAAACGCCGGTTTGGATAGCGAACTAATTATTTTTGTCAAAAAATATATACCTATCCTGGAGCCAGGGCCGGACCGGGTGGGTAAGGGCCCCGGGCGCTCCATGACTAAAAGGCCCCCAAACTCATGGACCCCCCCTCCGAAAAAGAAGACAAGGGATTTGCAGTTTTTTTAATTGTATTTCAAACAACTCGCTGAACAGTATTGAACATTAAATTAAAGGGGCCCCGCGACGGAGTCGTTCCACGTGGGCCCCGTCCAGGGTCCCCGCTAGTGCGGGGCCCCGGTCACTCGGGCGGCCTAGCGGCCTGGGCCAGTCCGGCCCTGCCTGGAGCACTGGACTGAAAGAATGGACTTGGAAATAATAAATAAACAAAATTCAACCAATAAAAAGGCAGTATGCAAAGTAGTTGTAACAATGTTTCATAAGCGGAAACTACAAATAATTATACAGGTACAAGATATTAGCGGATCAGGATCCTAGGAAGATGAAGAAGAACCTGCAATAAAAGGAAAAATGGCGAATAAATTCCGAATTAATTCAAAAACTGAGTATTCCAACCCTGTTTTAAATTGACTTGTTAAAAATGTAAAGGTAAGGTACCCAACAGTAACCCCGGACCACCCACTTCATAGTTTCCCGGTAACATTTTGACTTTGTCTCATAAGCCTGACAATACCCGAACCCATTCAATCTTCTTTTCTTTTGTAAAGTCACGTTTGATGGTACAAAATGATGGACAGCTCCCATAAAATTTTATTGCAGCGGAAGCCGACAAAATTTAGCAAATTCTTTTAGTTTCGCAGAACTCACAGATTGACTTTATGACCATTCTGGCAGTTGTGGTACATTTGTTGATTCTAATCCTAGCAACCCAAAATTCAGCCCGAAACGTGATCAATAGCCGCACACGTGTTTTCTTTAAATTAATTTAATCGATAGCATACAGGGTGTTCCGCACTGGCAAGAACCTTTGTTCGGTAATAATGCTCGTTAAAGTTAATTACGTAACTGCGTGCAACTACATATTTAAACGTAGACTTCATTCTGATAAAAATCCCGAAAGGCCGTGCCGCGTCTTGGGAATAGAGTGCGGCTTTTAATTTGCATTTTTTATTGGGAGGTCATACGATACGCACCGGTTCGCTCAGTGTTTAATCAACATAAGTGGATATTAAAGTGTACAAAGATATCGAGATAAGTGGTTAATTAACTAATTAAAGGACGCGAACGTCTGTGATTAACGTGAGGCGACGGCGACCGTTTCCTACTCATACATATCATAACGATCCTAAATTAGCATTAAACCAACTATAAATCGCCAATTTATTACCATTTAAATAAGGAGTTCGCGTCACGTTCGTAGTATTTTACGAGCAAGTTTTCTAAACTCCGGGATAACATCTAAATGACTTGAGAAAAACGAGTAAGTCGAGTCGTGAAAGACGGCCGGAATTGGAAAACAACGGGGAATCATAAAAAAGAAAGAAGCGCGTAATGGGTGATCAGTCACAGGTTGACAACTGGCGGGTAATTACCATAGCAGGCCGTACGGCGAACTAAAAGGAAGACGAGGAGAAATAATGCACATCCATCACGAACGCGATACGTCTCTGCCAGGCACCGCTACGACGACTTTAACCACCGACTAGAAAATAACGTGTCACGTGCACACCTATTTATACTGAAACAAAAAGAAAAGAATCTATTTCGTGAGAGGTACGCGAACAAAAGTGATCCATTTTATTGTAAACCGCACTCGAATAGTTCAACTTCTTGATGCAATACGAAACCGATCATAGTCATACTATTAACAAAGAAGTTCGTTTCAGTAACGGTAACCGATAGTGCCATAGGTATCGATTAATTCCGTTTGCCTGAATCTAATTGCAAGAGAGATCCATTTCAAAAACCGTCTTTATATTTCAGTTCAGCATTCAAGATCGAGTCACAGACCTGACAACTTTTAGAACACCCTGTATGCATTATGTAATAGTGTAACGGGGAACTGTTCCGAAGACTACTGTGCTTTTTGACGCTTTTTTGCACGTTTATTTGTAAAAAGTTAACTTATAATCTCACTTTGGTCGGCTGGCCGGCTGTCAGCAAATGCGGTGCCGTAGAAGAACGTTTGTAGAAAGACGAGGAGTGTCATGTACCTACGGAGGCCGTGTAATTAACAACATTAGAGACAGGGTTACATGATCTGTGGCGACATCCGGGCGCCATCCCCGAGCGTGTTATACTAAAGTGGTGATTTTCCAGTTTTTTCCTATCTACTTCTACAGCTTTGGTCCACAACTGGCCTGCCACATAAAAATGCGTTGAAATCGTTTCGATCTCACACGTGGACTTTGACAATTTTTTATTTTATTTGTCCCGAAATGAAAGCTTATCGACTGAAGTTCGACAATCTAATCCTGAGAATATGAGACAATTAAAATATTTTACGGCGCTAAAATTGTTGTAGTAAAACATGAAAATTTAAACAACATACTCAAAATTGAAGGAACAAGCACTTGAATAAGATAAAAATTACAAGCACTTATGTACGTGTATAAGATAGTGAAACACGAAACGCCAAAGTGGATAAGAAATATCAGCGGAAATGTGGGTGGTAAGAAGACACTCGAATTCGGAGCTAATGGATCTTCCATTTCTATAGGCTTTAGGATAGCAAAAAAAAAAATAGACGAGGGAGAAGTTGCCAAAGACGTCAAAGTGATCTGCTGAAAATCTGGAGATTAAAAATAATACGTAGATTCAAGTCGAGTACTGTATCAGTGATTATGCCCTTCGAGGCTGTGGATTTTGGTGTGCACTGGACGAAATTGCTGACTAAAATATATGAGCGTATGTCAGTGGTTATTTCTTTTAATCCACACCGTATAATCAAGGTTTAAAGGTTTGAATTTGCCACAACATGGCGGACGGGCTCAACTGTCGTCACTGTCTTTGTATAGAGTCATTGTTGTTTCCGTTACAATGACTTTATAATTCAAACGGCTGTAACTTTTGAACTAGTAGCCCAATCTTGGAACTGTTTGAAATTATGGATTCTACAGGCCACATTCTATAAGAAAGACTGTGGCGATAATAGGAGCTCAGCCGCCATGTTGCATCTAAAATTTAAATTAGAAGTAGGCAACACACAATACACGTGTGACATGTGTTGCGTGTACTACAATACCACTTTTATCATTAACTTTACAGACGCTATTGGCGCCACTATCTCTCTATAAAGTCACTGTAACGAAAATTACAGTGAATCAACACGAGAAACCTCACCAGGCCCGGACATCGGAAGGATTGACAGATTTAGAGCTCTTTCTTGATTCTGTTCTTGGTGAAGCAATCAAGCAGCACCCAAAGGGGTAGGCAACCCGCACTGAAAAGTCTCAGGTTATACCTCTGAGTTCCATAAAAACTTTATATGAGTTAATTACTCGCCTTTGTGGCTATTTATGTGCCCTAACGAGGAATCCAGGGACAAATGAGTATGGCGTCACGTTCGAACTTTAAGAGGAATGGTCGAAGAGCATATGTACCAATTTTCATAGCTTTACTCAAAAGTGCGAACTTTATCTCAGTTTAGGACCTAAGCGACTATTGCTAGTGAAATCCAACTGAAAACAAGATACGAAGAATCGTACATGATTTTCAGGAGGAGGATTTTTTGCCATTCAGGTCGCATTCGAAAACCAGACTTTTAATCCGGCTCATATTCATTATCACTGATCCTTGAACTCGTAGAAATCGATTGGCGAAGGTTAGGCATTGCTGTCTCTTTTCGTTCTCGAGTTAGACGAGGAGCAGACAGACAAACGGACAAAACCATCACCTAAGGCGAATTTTTTCCTTCAAAAAATTCTCCTAAAAAGTTTCAGCCTTAAAGAGAGTAACTTTAGCGCCTTTTTCGTGAATTCATCAGTACTTCCCGACAGGTCCTGTAACGAACTATTTATGTGCACAAAGGAAAATAAGTTATAGCATAAATTTAATGTTCTTATAAACAAGAAGCATTACATAGGTTGCGCATGCGCAAACGTGATGTTTAAAACATGCGAGATGCTTGCCTTTACTAGTACAACCCTTGGTTAAAATTTCAAACAAATATCTACATAAATAAAAAAGTTGGTTTGCGCATGCGCACATAATTTTTTACAATATGAGATATGCTTGTCTTTATTAGAATAATCATCTGGGGTAAAGATTGATCGTTGTTGTGGAGCTATCGAATGCAAATAGAACGATCTAAATATCTTCAAAACTGTGAGAGTAATTAAAGTCTCGGAGGCACAGGAAAAGGGGCCATAATAGCTTCCAACATGAGTTCAAAATGCGCTAAAAAGGCTGTGTGTCACCCTTCATTTACTATTTAGAGCCCTTTTGTCTTCTGGCAATATTGTCACGTTACATTTCATGATGTGTGGATGTGGATATACTGCAGGTACGTTGTCGACAAGCTCACTCGGCAACTTCAATACAAAAAGTGTATTATTTCATTAAATTTTGTTATAAGCCCCCTTATCGGGGTGACTCACACTCATCGATTTGACTGCGCATCCACCTTACAGTCCGATCTTCAGATTTCTATTACGCTGTCTATCATAAGCCATCGACGAGACCAGTGCATATTAAAAGCATCGTATTTCGATTTTGCCAGCTGCCCATTGTAGCAGAATTTCTCTTTAAAATGGTATGTGCATTATTAATATTTTATGCCCCATTAGAGTTTTGCCTTTGTTCGGATATGATATGTTTTGACAGGATTATTTAAGGGTAATTGATCCCCCGTGGTATTATATTAATTTTTTACCTGCACTTCGGGGTCTATACGTATTTCTTAATTTTTTAAACGACTTATAATAACCGAATCTTTTTTGTTATCGAGGGGTGAAGCGGGACTTCGATCAATACACGACAACCCCGGTCCACCCGGAACAAAGCTCGTTCGATCGGGACCGACATTTGCAATCACAAAGAAAGGAGTTTAATTTTGGTTTTTTGTTGCAGGGACACATTCATGATGACGAAGCTTAAGGAATTGAGTACCGCCCGTGATAATTATACATCGAAGGGAGTTCCGCACAACTCCAGGCTTACCTAATATGACTGAACGGGATAAGGACCGAAGCAAGGTGCAATACTCCTATGAAGGGTACTTCGATGAAAACTCACCGCGTCCCCCCGTGCCGGGGGAGGAGAGAAACCCTCCAATGGAATGGTCTCGACATAAAGTTCCATCGCCCACACCTCGAAAGTGTTACTGTTCAAATGGTACCACCCTTCACCGATTCCTCATATTTCTAAATTGCTCACTTTCAGACCCGTACGCGACCAGTAGCTACGACATCGACAGCTGCAAAACTCGCCATGACAAATACGAGGCCCGCACCCCCTGCGATAATCCTTCTCCATCGGCATGTTTGCGATGGTCCCACTCCTTACACGCGCTTCTAGAGGACCCCGACGGCATAGAACTATTCAGGCGATATTTACAGTCCGAAGGGCGCCCGCACGCCGACGCGCTCGACTTTTGGTTCGCCTGTAACGGACTACGAAAACAAAAGGAACCCGAACGAGTACAGCAGCTCGTCAAGGCAATTTATAGGTACACCTCGCCACCACACGAAAAGCGCGCCTAACAAATTTCTCTTCCAGGCGCTTCTTTCTTAAATCTGCTCTTCCGATAAAAGACGAATTGCGGCGGGAGGTCGGACGGTGTGTTAAATCTTCATCGAATTTCGATCCTCCGGTCGCGTTATTCGACGAAGCTCAAAAGCAAGTGGAGGCTCTCATCAGTGAGACTACTTATCCTAACTTCCTTAAAAGCGAAATGTACCTGTCATATATTCGAGTGAGTGTAGAGATTGCATTTTACAGATGTCGCCGTATTACACACTCATTCTTGCAGACTGCCCAATATCCGGCTGTCTGTAGCGGCGAATTTAGTAGTGACTCGAGTTCTTCCAGTAGTGCAGTTAGTGCTAGAGAGTTGCAGAATTTTGCGGCAGGCGTTGGTCTTCCGACATTGCATGAGGATATGGAGTATGTTAGTACTTCTGCTCCGCTTAGTCACACACCAGGTAGGCAATATGACACTAGCTGATCGCAAGTACTTCTAAACACAGTGCACACAGTACATAGACCAGGTATTCTATTCATAAGGGGAGCCTGACCAGGCAACTCATAGGCCGCTCCTCTCAATAAAGGATAGGACCCTGTTTGGCCTAAGTTGCTTTACCCTCCCCGGCTCCAGGCACAGAATACGGCCTTCTCAGAATAGAAACAGCAATGTTACAAATTTGTATTGTATTTTGGCGAACTCTGGTGGGTGTACTGTGAACTCGGAGTAGCGCCATCTGGTGACCAGCTTCTAAAGCCATGAAGTAATTGCCCCAATTCGATCTAAATCGTAAATATCGATAAAGAATACACAGTTATTAAATTGCAAGCGTATTTAGATACAATCACATTAAATTATTTAGCACAGAGAACTTAAATTACACATTTACAGATTAAGGCTTTTCTGTAGTCAATTAGTATTTCAGAGTTAATGCAATTGGTTAGACCACCAACAATACACACTGCTACATGATCTCCTTGAGTGAAACCAACGATGTATCTATCCTTCTCAGTTTTGCATATTCTCTTCATTTATTGTTAAACACAATGGACCATGTATAATGATCAAGGACTAATTATGTAAACAAGTTTATCGAAAAGCTGTACAATATTTGACTGGAGATGCAAAAATACCTATTTTGTACTCATTGAATGGAAAGATGTTACCAAGCATCCTCGATGCACGGGAAAACGACTTTCCCGCATCGCGGTGTTTTTTAGTTTCCGCTGGAGAGAAGGGGTTATGCGCGTTCTTCGGTTGGTAGTACTTATTGAAGTCAACGAACGTCATGTCATGGTTAACTGTCATCTGCTGTTAAAATCAATTAAACCGTTGGTTGAGGGTATTTAGTGCGATTAATCGGAAACAGACGTACACTAAGTTTTACGTAAATATATAAACAAGAACTTATAACACAATCAAATTATTTTTCAGAATTGGAACTCAAGAAAAAGTAAAATTTATTGTTAAAACGTCTTAAAATGTGACCAGTGATATTCTGCAACTATTCGCATATGCAGTTTAAGAAAGCACATATTAACACAAAGCTTCCAAGGATTTTAAATGTAACGAGTGTATTTACGCAACTCAAGATAAATCAAATTTGAGAACACATTTGTTCACACATGTCTTCTGGGAATATTAAATACGATCAGTACACTTACGCGACCAATAAGAGCACTCTTTTCAAAGCATATTTGTTAACATTGAAGACTTCCAAGGATATTCAGTGCAAACGATGCAATGCCGTGACCAGTAGTAGCACTCATTGCAATGGCAAAATATGTATTAACCAAAGATGTGGAAGTTTTAAATGTGACCAGTGCAATTAAAAGTGGGTAGTTACAAAATTATGTTACCAACCAAACATATGATTGTGTTACCAACTCATGATTTAAAAAAAACTAATTTACAAAACTTTATTAATTTTGACCTTTTTTTTACGCAATTCGTTACAAAAAATATTGTACCTAACTCTTTCGGAAAGAATTTTCCCGCATTCGCACTAAATGCAGCAGTCCCTACGGTCGTGCTGCAAACAAAGTGCTCATGCGGGAAAATTAACTTACCGAACTTGTTAGGTAAATAACTAATTTCTGTTACCGTTGAATAAATTACTTATTCAATGCATTTACTGCATTTTTCTATAATGACACCTTCTGTAAATTACCTGGTTTTCAGGTAATTAATGGACTAGATTAGCATTGTTTGTTATAACATTTTTTAATTACCCCTTTATTTTTTGTGATTTGTTCTAACCATTTTTACTGATTTATAGATTTTTATAGTTATTAGGTACATGTGCATGAATGAATTCACTTAGGTATGGTAGATCCTAAAAAAACCGGCACTTCGAACACCTAAAATAAATCTTTCTTTACTTATATACAAGGGTGAACAACAAAAATTGTATGTTTTTCATAAAAATGGTAGCTAACATTTAAAATTCTGTTACAATGATTAAAAGTATAACATTTATACTGATTCTAAATAAATCCTTATCTTTTCAAAAATTAATAACAATTGTACATTTAGCGTATTACTTATTTATATCTATGCACGACCCATGGAGAATTTTTCCGAACATCTTTTGTGCCGTAAGATGACTTGGCAGCCAAAAAACCTCAAAATTTTTGGCATTTTTTTAGTTTTTCGCTTAAAACTCGAAAACGGTCCATATTTTATGAATAACACTTCTTTAGTAAATTAAAGAAAACAAAATTATGGGTCGATCAAAAAAAACAAACAAAATCGGTCCAATAGAAAAATTTTTACAAGCGATCAAAAAACGCCCATTTTTTCGAATGAATTTCAAAAATTGGTCCAATTTTAAATTGTTGGTACTTTTTGCACTCTCTGATTGATGTTCTACAATCTTTAGGGGGGGGGGGGGGTAGTGGATTATATCCTTCCTTTAGGAGCCACAGCGCATTAAAAAAAGGTTAACTTTAGAAAAGTTCGAAAGATGGGCGTTTTTTGATCGCTTGTAAAAATTTTTCTATTGGACCGATTTTGTTTGTTTTTTTTTATCAGCGCAGAATTTTGTTTTCTTTACTTTACTAAAGAAGTGTTATTCATAAAATATGGACCGTTTTCGAGTTTTAAGCGAAAAACTGAAAAAATTCCGAACGTTTTGAGGTTTTTTGGCTGCCAAAAGTTGTGCCAGTAAAAAATTGGTGTGCACTCTTCAAATACATGTTATTCGGACCCAAATGGACCATTTAAAACGTTAAAATCGTATACATCACATTTTGCAGGAATCGGCCCTTCTGACTGCTCCGCATACTGGACTATCTGAGGAAACTGATAATTTTACGTGGGAAATATACACAAACGTGTAATTTAGTCATATTTGATTTGATCTAACTAAACAAAGTGCTACGCTTCTGGTAGTTTGATAGCATTGTTATAAAACAGAGTTCATAATGATATAACATGTGAAGTAACTAGTATTGTACGTACCCCCCGCCCCGTCAAAGGGAAATATTATTACAGCTTCATTATAGGTTTTTTTTTATTTCTTGAAGCTTCTTGATGGGATGCAAAAGGTTTTAGAAATAAAAAATTATTTCCAATGTACCTATAATAGGGTATACATTTTTCGTCTTGGGAATATGTGTCATTATGATTTACAAATCAACAGCATTCAAATAAATAAATAATAAATAGTAATTTATCTAATCCATATCATTAGGAACGGCTAACAATGTGTAGGGTAATGCCAGGTAGTTTCTTTTGTTTTCCCTTTCAAGTAATGAGTTGTCGCCTCAGGCGTTATACGTGCAATTTAAGTTGCCTATCCTTACGTTAGCGTTTTGATTTTTTTCTGAAGATCGCGAAACATATTTTTTAAAATATATGCCTTATCATAATAGATGGAAATAATATCTTTAAGTACCGCCGTAGGAAATACTGCCGAATTTCCAAATTGGTGCTGTACGTTTTTCTACCCTCATTACATCGGCCGTTATCTACAAAAAAAAACGATTTTTCTATTCATCGATCTTCCTAAAAAACTAAGACCGATATTTCAATTTTTTTAAGTACCGCCGTTCTTTTCATCATTACAAAGAATATCCACTATCGAAAATTTGTTAGACTTCAACTACAAAAGCAGCATTTCATAAGAAAGTTTAGCTATTTTTCCAATATGGCGGATTGACTACAGAGGAGCCTTAAATATAAAACTCAGGAGTGAGTAGGATGTTAACACTTTGGAAAAAGATCCTTATGTAACGATTTGTCATAAGAAATATTTGGTTTTTAACTAAAACGAATTACACCATCTATATATATAAATATAAAACTCAAGTGTACACCCTTTTGCGCCTATACAGTTGGTAATAATTCTGCGCCAATTTGTATCTATCCATGCCTTGCATAAATAGGAAAGAAATATCAGTGCACATACTTCTTTTATATAGAAAGGCTGGTGAACGGGGAGGAATGCCTGCGTTCTAAGCATTAACTCCTTCGTGCGCCCTCCCATCCTAGCTGTCCCTTGGATGTATCATAAGTAACCCATCTTAGGGATTCACCAAGGTTCTTATACCTTGTCGCCTTTTACTAAATCATTTTTTTTAGGTACAGGCTGCTTAAGTACCGGGTATCACACACCAAATGTAGGAGGACCCGTCCGATTAACAAAAGACGTGCTGCTGGCGACGCAAAGGCGCCGAGCGCTCGATTCGCGACCGAAACCGGAAACGTTTGCGGGGTAAGTATTTTTCATACATGAACCGTAACGATAAGTGCATGCGCATTCGTTTTTGTTTAATTTTTTTTTATTGCGTGTGTGTATGACGTGTAGCATGTTCTTATACCGTGGAGTCGGGGCCCATGCCGTTTACAACTCGTACAATCCGGTATCGAGGCAGGATAGTGAATTACAGTCGTTAAGCAGTCATTCGGATGCACGTACGGAGTCAGACAATATGTCTCTTACAGACAATTCTATGTAAGTATCCGTTTTAGTTTATCAAAATTGTACATGTCTATACAGAATTAAAACATTCTATTGAAAGATCAATTAATAGCAATTTTAAGTATTGCACAAACTTTACAATTCACATTCAAAGTTGTTGTCTTAACATCCTGTATATAGTAGGATTTTCCTTAGTTTGCATGTAATCGATACTGGTGTGAAACCATCCGCATCGCTAACGGGTTTCTTACATTGCCTTGCTTTTTTAGAACTTTCTAGAGGTTTGCCCGATTTAGAAATTTGTGAAATAGAAGTCACTGTTCTCAGGATCATATTGAATGCATTTATATCTTTCTTGTTCAAAATAACGAATATGATTAGAAATAAGTTGCTTACATTTTCTTGATAAACCCGATGGTATTTTTGGCGCAGAATATCACAGTGGGACTTTTTTTGTTTGTTCCCCAAAAACAGAGTTGATGATGTGCAAGCTAAAGGTAGGTACACACCTACAGGTTCGCCTGTCAAATCCACCTGTCGCAGGTAATCTCGTCAGGTCCACCTGTCAAAAAGCGGACTTGACAGGTGAACCTGTAGGTGTGTACCTGGCTTAAGGAAAATCCTACTTTTGTTTGATTTTAGTTTATTTTCATTGATTCACTTGTGCATGGCATGTTGTGATACTGTTGTTTTTTGTATGGTTAAACAAATTTCGCTTTAATAGTTTGTAATCTGTTAACGTTCTAATCAAATTCGTCTCTCTTTGGGATGGATTATTTTTCCTTTCCACACTTCGCCCTCATAAACCAGGTAAAGACTGAAGATGGCGAATATGATTTGCACTTGACCAATGTGTGTGCGTGTTGTTTTTGATCACACTTGAGATTTTGAGCCCTTGGCTAATTAATAAACTAGAACAGTGGCAGATTAGAGGGAACAAGTTATATGATCCCAGTCTAAAAATTGATGTATTAATAATATGAAAATTAACAATGTAGGCCAATCTTCGCCCATCTGTTTACCGAGTGAAATACATTTTTTAACAATCTTAATATGAAAACAAACACATTGCAAATGGGTTGCCTAAAAAATTAAGTCAAGACTACCCTTAATTGAAATTAATTACATTAATTTTAATTAAGGGTAGGCTTCACTTAATTTTTTTAGGCAACCCATTTGCAATGTATTTGTTTGCATATTAAGATTGATAAAAACTCAGTAATTATGGTTGACCTTAAGTCGAATCTTGTACTATTGCTTTTTTCTGTAAATTTTTGACTTTTGACATGTGTCATTAATAATTAATCAATTAATGTAATCTATCAAAGAGTGATATTTCATTAATTTGTACGCCTGATATTGTATTCAATTTCTAGTGACGGTAAATCGCTGCCTCGTGCGTCACGAAGGCAATCTTCCATGCTGACGAAGCAAGTGCAGGAGCAAGCGGCTCTCAATAAGGAAACCAACATGCATCAGACTGTCATACCGCGTACTCAAAGAATGGACACGCGCCAGTATCACGCCACCGATCCGTTGACGTTCGGTCCGATTCTGATTGAGAAGTTGGAAAAAGTGCGGCGCGAGCAGGAATCTCAAGAGCTTCTCAGCAAGAAGCTAATGGAAGGCGATAGTTCCTTAGAGGATAAGACGCGCGTAATTCAATCCAACGAAATCGCGAACGCCATAAGGGAGAAGTTGCAGTTGGACGACGATAACGATCAAGATATTTTAGACCAGCATGTGTCGCGCGTATTTTCCGATTTAACGCCTTCGAGATCTCCAGGATTTGTTAGTCCGAGACCTTACTCGCCGACGAGAAATAGGTGGGCTCAGGAGCAGTACGCGCGAACGAGGCGTAAGGATAAGGACGTATTCTCGACGTTTAGCGGCGATTCCGGTAACGTTCACGATTTTCCGGAATCGTTCGATCATAAGATCGGCATGGTTAAGTCGAAGAGCATGACGGATTACGGGGAAGATAAGTTCATTCGTGGTTCCAGTAGGAGGTCGTCTTCTAAGAAGACAATTAATGATCTGACCGATAGCGGTGTGTCCGTGGTTTCGGATACGCCACCCGTTAAGGAAAATCGGGTGCTGGCGTGGGTTATTGAGTCTGATAGATCGGGCAGAGGAACCGGCTATACGCATAGTGAAATGTCTGGAAAACACAGCAGGTATGAACCTTTTGTTTTGGATCTGTGGGAAACTCATGCGAATTTTAGACACAGAAAGGCTTATAGTGGATCCCGCTCGAGTTCAATGGAACGTAACAGCGTTGCCAACAGCTTGGTTCCAGCCCAACCGTTCGTTGCCGACCCCAGTATGCCCCCACTTCCGTTACCAAATACTGCCATTCAGTTGGAAGAAGCGCGACGCCGTCTTGAAGATGACGTACGCACAACTCGGTTCAGGCAAAAGTACGAATCTCGCAACTGGTACCTTTTTTTTAAATCATTATATTTTAGGTCGTCAAATAAATACTTCCCAGAAGTTACGCAAAGCAGCCAGTCGACGTTACGCAAATCGACGCGTACTAAAAGTTTACCGACGGCGGCGTTAACGCAAGAAGAATACACGACCGTCGTTTTTTCGTTTTGCGATGAACAGTTTCCATACCGCACCAAAATACCTGGTCATCAGATTAGTTTAAATAAGTTTAAAGAATATTTACCAAAAAAAGGAAATTACAGGTTTGTACTACCGCTTATCGACCCGCCTTTAGCAGCCCCCACCACCATTGGCTAGAATTTCTATGCTGCCATTGGGTATATTTGAATTTGCCACTGAACTTGAGCCACCGCGCGCTGTAGTGTGTCAGCTTAACGCAGGCCGCCTGTACTCTATTACGGAATAGTGTTTAAACTCGGTAATAAAAGTTATTACCCTTACCACAGATCTACACATATACAGATTGCTAACCTTATGCATTTTTTGGGAAACAAATTTAGGTATACTTAAAAGCGCCCTCTATTGCGGAGCAGTATAAACATGTACCGTTTAAAACTAATATGACGCTTTTGGATTTATGCATTAGATGTCGCTGCAAAAAATTGAAGCGGTAAATTAGGAACCTGTCAAGACTTTTAAAGCCGCAAATAGTTTGCGCCAACTTCAAAAAACCTTCACGATTCCTTAAGAACCTGCCCTATGTTACCTCCTATCATATCATATCACTGTAATAATATGAATATTAAGGAATTCGAATTGTGCAAACTTTAGCGCTTTAATTTTGTTTCAACGACATCTAACGCATAAATCCATAAGCGTCACATTACAGTTTTAAACGTTACATGTTTATACTGCTCCACAATAGAGGGCGCTTTTAAGTATACCTAAATTTGTTTCCCAAAAAATGCATAAGGTTAGCAATCTGTGTATGTGTAGATCTGTGCCCTTACTAATTAATCTCTTATCTACGACCGGAGATAAACTTTTGCAAATCCCACGCAATTATTTGCAAATCTTTAAATCTAGTCTTGTAATACAAAACAAATTTGGCCTCGAATTCAACTAATATGATGATATTGTCAATTTTTTCAATGGTAGAGTTCACTTGACGTTTTACTTAACTTTCACTTAACATCCTCCTTGGCTGAAACTCCGCGCACTTCAAAATAAAGACCCAAAAAATTAATAAATATATATTTGACGTGTTCAAAAAAATTCGTTTTCTACCCTTCGTGCGCTCCTCCACCATGCAAACCAGCAGATTAACATACCTCCAATATCAGAGACACGTGGGGCCTATGCACTATCAATATCTGATGTGCTGGAGTATTTTCATGTGACTTATTTTTAGTACATTATTAAAAAAAAGTGTAGACGCAATTCTGCTTAACATCTTATCTGTTAACAGCGATAAAACAGGTGCGTTACTTAATTTTCGCCTGATAAGATTCCTTATCGCAAACGACCAGATGAGTCTTACTTCTAATGCCTTGTTTAAATTCAATAAAATTTAAACCAAAAAATCTACAAAAGAATACAATAAAATTTAAACCAAAATTACGCATCATTACAAACTTGAAACATTTAAACCCAACAATGGACTAAAGGGTAATGAAAATTAAAAAATCTGACTACTTCTCTAAATTTGAATATTTTGAAAGCATCATTTGTCACCCAAAAATTTAAATATTCTTTGTTGTAGGTATTTCTTTAAGACGGAGTGCGAGGAATTAGGAAACCAAGTAATACAGGAGGAGGTGAGCAACGATACGGATATTGTTCCTTTGTACGAAGGAAAAATAATGGCGCAAGTAAAGCCTGTCGACTGAGTTTTACATTTATTTTATTTTTATACAAAAGAAATGCCTAATTTATACGAATCTTCTAGTTTTTATAAGACTAATGGAAAAAATAAATGTATTTGCGAAGTTTATTTATTTCTGTTACATTGTTAAGCGTAATCGTCAAAATGTGTATGTTAACTTTTAACGGTGAGCTGAGAGAGAAAAACAGGGGGTCGGCTAGAGGTGTGCCGCTTTCGGTTACACTTGTATGTGTAATATTTCTAGATGTTTTTGTAGTTTCCTTGGGAGGCTTTCGTGAACGGAACTGTAATTCTGTAGAACGTCTAAAGAATTACAGTGACATTCACCAACCTAAGGTTTTGTGTCTTAAAACATTAAACTGCCAAATTCAGAAGCAATACAAAGGGCAGTGGCGTAACAAAAGTAATCGAATACAGCAGGTGCATATATATAGTGCCTTTACATGTCTTCTGCAGTAATTAATTTCTTTGTGTGTTTCCTCAATTTTTACCAAAATACATCACGTTTTATTACAGCTAGCGGCGGCCATATTCGTTTATAATCCGATTTTCAGAGAAAGAGTAGCTGTAGTTCGTCATATACCTCATTTTTGCGTGTAAAAATAATTCGTCCCATGTTCAAGTTAGTTCTAAGGACTGTATTACTTAAACTGTACATTTTCTTTTAATTTATTAAGCGTTGGAACTGATGTTTTATTTAGACACGGCGGCGAGTGAAACTTTGCATATTTCCTCAAAACGTAATTTATTAAAGCGACGAAATACGCAATCGTTTTCGCTCCCCCCACCCTCTCTAATTTTAATTTGTAGTCAATAGTTTTAAATGTGAATTTTGTAGATAGAAAAAATATTTATAGTTGTTTTTAAATACTTATTTTTTTATAAAGTATTTTTTCACAAAACATATTCTACAGTATTTTAGTGTAAACATAGTTGCAATATTTGTTGAAAATACATCTTAAGTGCCATATGTTTATTATTACAATGTTAGCAATCCTTCTTTTCCATTTATTTCAAGTTAAATTACCTCTGTCTATTATGAAAGTTTGTATGAAATAAATCTCTTATTTGTACATGAACAATAATATAAAAATACACTTTTTTATTGTGCCTTTTATTTGCATGGATTTAATATTCTTAACTAAAAGGATAATTTGGCTGACCATACCAGCAGGGAGCATTCATTATTGGGCCTTGTAATGGCGAATCATTGATTAAGCCTGTTTGACTGAAGCAATAAAAATTGTAAGTTGCAAGAGAAATTGCGACGTGCATGCGCAGTTCATACCCAGATGTTAAATGGCTGTAAGAGGGTAATAATATCTTTCATAACGCTTCGATGTCAAAGGCGGAAATCATTCAGGGGTTGGAAGGAGCGAGAGTCTGCCTAACTGATTAAATTTTGGTCATTTGGACTTTCCGTCCGTTCGTCTGTTTTGTTGCTCGTTTATATTGGTTTGAAGCAGTTTATTTTGCATTTTACAACTGCTGGTAGGGTAGGTATAAGTACCTGTACCTACTTAACTTAACATTCTTGTAAAGTTAGTTAAATTTAAAAGCGCATATAATCACGATTCGTTCGAGACCAAATAATCGCGACCCGCAGGACCGGGCCCAGAGGCGCGCGCCTATTGGCCTCGTACTAGTTCAAAATTTACAGCCCTTTGAATTTCCTTTCGAAATTGGTTTCTAGTCCATAACTTTTGATTGAGAAGTCCGATCGAAAAAGTACGAATTGATTTGGATTCTACGCACCAAAATTAATAAGAAAAAGTGTTCCCGAGAAATTTTGGTGCAATCGATTTTTGGTAAAAAAGGAAGGTGCCTTTTTTTGAACCCCGAAAAAAAATTGTCTCAGATCGACCCGGAAAAAAAATTTTCTTATAGAATGTGGCCTGTAGAATCCATAATTTCAAACAGTTCCGAGATTGGGCTACTAGTTCAAAAGTTACAGCCCTTTGAATTTTCTTTCGAAATTGGTTTCTAGTCTATAACTTTTGATTGAGAAGTCTGATCGAAAAAGTACGAATTGTTTTGGATTCTACGCACCAAAATTAATAAGAAAAAGTGTTTTCTCGAGAAACTTTGGTGCAGTCGATTTTTGGTAAAAAAGGAAGGTTATACACTGCCTTTTTTTGAACCCCGAAAAAAAATTGTCTCAGATCGACCCGGAAAAATCCGGAATCCATAATTTCAAACAGTTCCAAGATTGGGCTACTAGTTCAAAAGTTACAGCCCTTTGAATTTTCTTTCGAAATTGGTTTCTAGTCCACAACTTTTGATTGAGAAGTCTGATCGAAAAAGTACGAATTGTTATGGATTCTACGCACCAAAATTAATAAGAAAAAGTGTTTTCTCGAGAATCTTTGGTGCAGTCGATTTTTGGTAAAAAAGGAAGGTTATACACTGCCTTTTTTTGAGCCCCGAAAAAAAATTGTCTCAGATCGACCCGGAAAAAAAATTTCTTATAGAATGTGGCCTGTAGAATCCATAATTTCAAACAGTTCCAAGATTGGGCTACTAGTTCAAAAGTTACAGCCCTTTGAATTTTCTTTCGAAATTGGTTTCTATTCTATAACTTTTGATTGAGAAGTCTGATCGAAAAAGTACGAATTGTTTTGGATTCTACGCTGGACTTGTACCATTTCTGTTATGAAAGGCACCCTAATTGGATGCTGTATAATATGTTTTGAAGCGCCTTATAAGCGATTTTATAGGTACTACAAAACATTTAAAGTTATGTGCTTTGAATAATCCATAAAGTGGTCTTAGAAATTCGCAAATTTATTCGTCGTGATTCTGAAACGCCGAAACAATGTAATACAGCAATGGAATTTCCGATTTACGTGGAACATCGATTATTCCCAATTTGGCAGCAACTTTTTCTTTAGGCTGCTTGTCCTTATCCGCGCCAGATTCTACAAGAACGCGTTTTTTTGGTTGATTTTGATTAAGAACCACTTACCAACGCTCAAAAAATTTTCCGAATAAACGTATCCGTTCCACAGAAGGTATTCTCTCAGTAATTCGTTAATTATCTTAGTTTCTTCAGGTATTTCTCCGAAATCCTCTTTGGTAGGTTGACGTGTGTGAAGTATTGACATAACGGATGAACACAGTTGCGCTTTAAACCTTCCTAAACGTCCATCTTTTTCCAAAGATTCTTTCACTGCTAAATATACGAGTATTAATTGATATAATTATATTGTCCACGTTCACTACCTTTGAATAATTGTTCTTCTGTAGGGTTGCTCATTCTAAATTGCACACTTTAGTTTGTTTACAGTATGATGGTTGCTAGGTAACGTAGGTATAGTGCAGGGATGGATGCACTTCCTGTTAATTCCGGCAGCTGCTAATTATGTTAGATATTTTATCATTTCCGCTTGCATAGAATTCTTCATTCTTTGAAAGTGAAAAAGATCTACAAATGCCTTAGAGCAGGCAAAGGTCATTCTGGTATCCAGCATGTTTCACAGTGTCCATAGTAACCACAGGACAAACAAACGTGACTGACATCAAACATGAGTGATCCTATGGAAGATCATTTATTCAAAGGTTCGATTACATTTACAATCTAAATTACTAATCATCATTTTTCCATTAGAGGTCAAGAGAAATTTGGAAGTCGATGGACGTTTACAAAAATTTACGGCGGAACTTCGTTCGACCCTCATCTCGATTCTTAACGGCCGCCCCCCTCGAGATCAAAATTATAACGAGATTCCCAAGGAAACTAGACTAATCAACGATTTAATACGCGAGTACCTTATCTGGAACGGCTACATTTACACAGAAGAGTTTTTAGTCGCTGGTAATTATTTATAGTAAGTTTCCTATGTGATTGTGCAAACGATGGCATTTGTAGAATCTGGTGCGGAGAAAGAAAAACCATCTAGAGAGGATCTTACCGAAAAATTGGGAATAGCTGACGATTATTCCACAACAAAGATACCGCTGTTGTATTATATTGTATGTGCATTTGAAATGCAAGAGCAAAGTACCTAACCAATGTGACAAACGAGATATATACAATTGTATTTTAAATAAATATTAACTGTTATTACAACTCGGTAATTGCCTGTAGGTATAGGTAACGGGGGGAAGATATCAGGGAAATGATGAAAAACTATAATTTCATAGTGCAGTTGGTCATGGTGTCACTATGGTTTGACTTTAAGACATGAAGCCAGCATTGCTAGGATTTTTCTTGGATTGGGGGGTCATAGAAATATTTTGATAAAATTGAAAAATGCGCTAAAAAATCAGTAGACCTGTATGGTCTAAGCAGTAGACACTTAAAAGCGCTAGAAAAACATCAATCACGTTACCTTCAATTTCACTTTTTTCTCTGTTTTTGTTTAATAATTTTTTTGAAAGAAGCAGAAAATTTCTCGCTTAGAATTTCCAAAATGCTCGTGTTTTTCTGTGGCGTGCCAGCTTTACTGCTCGTAACCTTCGTGAACTTCCTTTGCATGATGGGCGTCTTCTTGGTGTAATAAAAGGTGAGATGCGTACGTCGACTGCTACAGAAATTTATCTTGAGCTTTTTCAGCGATACCATGTCCAAGTCAAGGGTGACGGCTGGGAAATCTAAACCTGGCCCGTCAAGGCCTTTGGCGAAGAAATTTCAAATACCGGCGCTAAGTATTCCGATCAAGGAGCCCCCTTTAGGTAGATTGCATATTGTAGAAATTATTTCGAAATAAACTTCCGTTGTGTATGGTGAATTATTTGTAGACCCTGCGCTTGAGCGGTTAAAGAAAAAGACTGTTCGACGCAACGCGCCAGCAGGTGAAGATATAAAAAAGATTAGGGAAATTATCAAGGGATTAAATAGGGAGGTGGTCACTGTGCAAGAGTTTGTTGCACTGGTATCGCCACATACTGGGGATAATGGTAAATTATCACCACGATTTCGGTAATGCAATTCGTGTATTCAGGTAATGTTCTGCGATCAGTCATGGTGGAGGACTTGGCGAATTTTCGGAAGCTAGCAAAGCAGGTGTATGACACCATGACCCAAGATGTTAGTGATGTATTGGCCAACGAGCAAATCAGAGTGACAGATTATTTTAATGAGCGGTATACGTTGAACATGGACAAAATGATGAGAGGCATTGATGAAATTTTTCGTTACTCTCCAAATTTTGATTTTGATACTTATTACACGGATCCCGATTATTTGAATAGAATATTTCCGTTGCCTAAAGAAGAATTTAGTACAGTCGACCCGGAGGAACTCGCGATGCAAAAACGTCAGGAAGTGTACCACCGATTGCAGTGGATGCGATCGGAAGGTGCGCGCTTAAATGAGGAGAACACTCAGCTGCAAGCGCGACTAAAGCAATTAAAAAGACAACAAAAACAGGAACTAATGAAGTCGTACAAACGGGAAGAAGAAGCCGAACAACAACGGAATCAGTTGGAGGCAACCGAAGCACAACTGCAAAATCGGTAGGTTTACTTTTGCTTTGCTATATCGTCAGTAAAAATTCGTCGTAGACTTGAGGATCTCAACGAGTCTGTGGAAAGGGGTATAATACAAGGTGAAGAGGAACTTCGTTTGGCACAAGACGTAAAACTCTCATTGCCTCCGAAACAACAGGCACGGGGTGGCAGAATACCACCGAAACAGAAGCCCCGAAGACCGCCTTGGAATGTTCGCACAGCAAAATCTATTGAAGATCAGGGAATGCAAGAGGCTGCAGAAAGTGCAGCGAGCACCGTATCAACTACGTCAGTTTTGTCTAAAACAGGCGCGGTGAAAAAGGTGGCTAGACCTAGGATCGTCAAAAAGAAGCCTCCACCCAAAACTAAAACGAAGAGAGATCTTTCGCCCTTCCATTACTCACCGCCACGAACACCACCTGATCAAGCGGCTAGACCAAGTTCACCCTTTCATTATTCTCCGCCAAAGTCGCCTCCAGGCGCCAGAGCGGTAAGTAATTCTCCTCACTTTATACCTGATGAAATAATAGTAATCTGTAGATGTCCCCTGAAGAGCGAATACCCAGTCGCACAGTGCGCTATGAGAACACCACGACAGTGGTCGAGCAGCTTCCCCCTGAACAAGCCGCAGGAAGGATATCTGGTAGAAGAAACCTCGCGCCTAGAGACACATGGAGAGGATTTCAATAAAACAAAGACTGTCATTAAAAATATTGCGTGTAATAAAAATTTAAAATCATCTAAGGTTTTGCTCTGCTAACAACGGCCAAATAACAGAACGCTCCGCAACGTGGTATAGGCTGGGCGGCCAGAAAGGCTCCCCCGTCTGGCGAATGCTGATATAACATTGGTTTCTGCTTTCCAAATGCCGAATCAATCCATGCACCTTCATCACCGGCAGCTTCAGCTCCACCCGGCTGTTAAAACAAATTAACCCCTTCGCACTTCAAAGGGAGTCATTACCAAAAGGTGCGCCAATGCCGGTAACGGTCCTTGCGGCGGATTTTCAGTGAACGGCGGGCGTAGTTCTCCATTTTGCACGTTCAAAACCAGATAATACATAAAATCGTTTCTTAATCTCATTTCGGCCAAGGTGCGATTGCATGTCGCCAACTTTCTCATCCATCGAACTACTTTTTCTCGATCTGAAAAGAGGTCCGTCGAATTCAATAGGAGGTGCAAAAGGTACACTACCGTTTACTGCGGTCAGGTTTCCCATCATTGTCTTTGTAAGGAACATATTGTAGTTGCAGTCATAATTTAGATCTTCGGCGACGTCCGCCATTGTGAATGGAAAAATTTGGAAAAGAACTAAAATTTACTGGAAAAACTCGGGCGATATGTCAATGACGATAGTTGAACAAAATTGAATGCCAACTGTGATATTTTTCATTCGTGTATGACAAAATCAACATATTTTCGTGTAAATTATTGACTGGCCATCGAGTACTCCTGGATTTTATTTAATGTTAAAGGGGAGGAACAAGTTTTATGGTGTGTTATTTGAAAAACGCTAAGTTTTAGTAAGTAATGTAATAGAAGTTCCTCCCGTTAATCGGAGAATGTTTGAGAATTATAATGACATTCCTATAAAGGTATATGCTTTTTTGATTTCTGGGTTTCAATCAAGACTATTGCAGAAGGGGTTGTTTCCGTCTTCCTGTGGGGTTGAACGTATAGTGCTTGCTACCAGAATAGACGACTGAAATGTAGCCGAATCGAAAGGTTTCAAGAAAATTGAGCGAATCTGAAAAATAGTAGGAAGAATTCGAATAAATAGAGGGAATAAAACGAATGTTAAGGACCAAAAGATCTAAATATATGGCAGTCGAATAATAATTACCTACTATGATTTTTAGACTGTTATAAATTGATTGTTAGTTAATTGTAAATAAATAAAACGACGTAATTAAATTGACGTTACAATATGAAAGTTGGAAGTTAATTTACCATTTTTAGAATCAAATAAACAGAATTTTTCAAAAATATTAGATTTGCAATGTTTGACAAATGGTAATTGTAACTAATGGGAAATAATTGAACCTATGGGAAAAATTCAAAAATTTGTATTCTAACCTCAATTTAACTGTTTATGTTTTATATTATGAAACGAATTACCCGAAATTCGACAAAAGAAAATCCAGGAAGGGCTACAACTAGCTCTGAGGCTGTAGAAACCGGTACAAAACCCAACTTGTCTCAATTTAAGTTGGAACCAAAACGAAATCTGCACTCAAAACGTACTCATGTCCCAGTCGAATATGAGGAACCGACAAACCCCAAGAAGCCTTCCAAACTCATCGAAAAGACCTTCGCGTCATCTGCCCCGAAAGATTGGGAGAAAGCTTTCAGAAACCTTAGGGAAATGCGTAAAGATTATGATGCGCCTGTCGATACAATGGGATGTGACCGCTGTGCGGAGGATGGCGCCCCACCTGAGGTATTTCCCTCTTGTTTGTTTTTGCTTGCTACACTTAGTCATTTAGGATCAGCGACTTCAATCTCTTATATCGCTAATGTTGAGCAGCCAGACGAAGGATCAAATAAATCATGCGACCATGTTAAAGCTACGAGAATACGGTTGTAATTTAACTGGAATGTTGGAAATCTCAGAGGAAAAGTTGGGCGAAATAATTCGTCCTGTCAACTTCTGGAAGGTGTGTAGCGGAACTCTTTGTATGCGGTCTTAGCATTCTCTTACAGACTAAAACGAAAAATATTAAGCGGGCAGTGGAAATGATTAGAGATGAGTTTAACAGTGACATTCCCAAGACGGTGGAGGGTTTATGCAGATTGCCCGGAGTCGGTCCAAAAATGGCACACTTGTGCATGAAGACCGCATGGGGGGAAATCAGCGGCATTGGTTTGTACGACCAATAAATTGCAATGTTCTATCATTTTTCACAATAGGGGTAGATACTCACGTTCATCGTATTACTAATCGTTTAGGATGGGTGAAAACAAAAACACCTGAGGATACACGAAAAGCTTTAGAGGCGTGGTTGCCTCGTGAGCTGTGGAACGACATAAATCTCCTAATGGTCGGATTTGGCCAACAGCTTTGCCAGCCTGTCAAGCCTCAATGCCATAATTGTCTAAATAGCGATTTGTGTCCCACTGGAATGAAAGAGTTGAAGTCTCAAAAAGGGAAGGGAAAATAGTTTTTGTATGCACAAATAAAGTTACTTTTCTATAGCTATTTCTTTGCTTTTCCTATGCTGAAAATTATTTCTGTATCTTTTATCTTGGAAAATTCCATCCACTGTGCAGGGAAATTACTAAGACAAGTGAACATCAAATTTTAATAAACTTTGCAAGTGCGCAATTTTAAATAACAATTGGAATTTCTGTACAAATTTTGTTGTGAACTTTGTGTAGGTACTTTTGAGAGTTGTTTGTGTTATTAGAATTTATTTACATTTGTTCTTTGTGTTGTGATTACTTTATTAGAATCCTACTGTAAGCGGCTCAAAAATTGATTTCTGATACTGCAAACACAATTTGAACAATAAGAAAATACATTTTCCTAATCTACTGTCATCATAAAAGCTAACCAATCCCTACCCTTAATGTGTGGTCGATTATTTGAAATTGAAACACAATTTGGACATAATCACAATGATCTAAAACCTTTAGCCCACTAAAACTTGAACAAATCTAACAACAAAAAGTTTTATTACATCACTTATTTACACGTTTTTTCTTTTTATGTTTCAAATTTTGTCTCTTCCGCAGTGCGGTTTCATGTTTCTGTTTTTGTTGCTCCATCCTCCCTTTCTTCTGGAAAGTTTTGCTTTTCTGCACGTTTTTGGTCGCCTTCTTCTTTAAAATCTTCTTAATATCTTTTTTAGAAAGAATTTCCACAGCTTCGTCACGACTCTCGCGCTTGCTCGGTTTCAAATCGAGCTCCATACCTGGCAGTAGCTCTTGATCATCGCCCACAGCATCAGAATCAGCTTCTTCCTGGTCTGACTCATACGTAGGTTGATTTGCGCCGATCCAGTCATTGGTCTTCGTAAGCTCGTTCGCCGATATTTCCGTTATTTTTACATTGACTTCGCTATCGTCGTACTCCTTCGAGAATAGGTCTTCGACTTCGGGTATCGGCGCGTACGATTTGACTAACTTCTTATAGGACTCTCGGGCCTCGGCTTTTAGACGCTTTTTTTCTTCTTTGAGCTGTTTCTCAAACTTTTCTTTCGCCTTCTTCTTCCGTTCTAACTTTCGTTTATGAAACCCCGTGAGGAACTCCCTACAAGAGTAGTTGAGGTTATGTTTATCATATTTTCATTGCAAAACTTGATGAATACCTGCGCTTAGTTTCGTCGAATATTAAATGTACTTTATTCTTCTTTTTTACTTTAGTATTCCTCGATTTTGGTTTTGGATACATTTTTGGAATGTAAACTTAACCTAACATGTGTTTAGGCAGAGGCGTAGTTTTAGAGAAGCTTTCAAAATTCGGAGCATGACCACCAAAGGCCAGCAAACAGATACAATTGTGCAAATAATTAAGAGGAGCCAAAACGGAATCTTGCACCGCAATTGGGTGGTTATTAATAAGTAATAAAAAGCTTTGCAACTGTCAATAACGGTTTATGAAAAGTAAAAAAGTTGCAGGATGCACGCCACTGGGCACTTTCAGTGATCCAAATCAGCAATTCACAAACCACAAAGTTTAAATTTAGGCAACATTTTCCGCTAGTTACTTTAAATGGTTCGTTAAAATTCACATAAAGAGTAATCGGCAAGACAACCAGTAAATTAGCGCTACGATAAAGAAAAAGTAATAAAAAAAGAGTCGTTTTGCTTTCATTCCTCCCGAATTCCGTCGACCAATCAGGAGCAAATCGAGCCATAAAGTCGGGCTCATCAGCAGTATGGCTGTCAGTATAAATTTGAACCTTGAATAATGAACTTCCCTTCTGTGAAATCTTTATATAAAAATTTGGGCTGTTTTAAATTAAGCTTTAAACACATAGAAGATGCACGAAGGAGTTACAAAATGACTTTTAAAGTTAATTGAGCCTCATTAGAAGAAGGTAAGTAACCTCTTGGTCGCACAATTTCTAATCAAACCCCAAAAATTCTTTCCTTTATAATTACACAAATATGAACTCCATCATTTTTTACGATATTTACATTAAGTTTATCTATTTGGCTATTTTTAGTTACGTGCACTTATCGAGGGTAGGTGTGTTTGAAATTTTAATCAAAATTTGCATCCCATTGGAGATCTTTTTATAAAACTTTCATTAGCTGTATTGATTTACCATATGGCCTAAGTCTGAATCTAACTAGGTAATAATTTTATTGATCCCACTCTATTTGTAATATCCGTATTTATTTACAGATTTTGTTGTGAGTAGATCTGGAAGCCACGATGACATCGAGCAGGTATGTGTCTCTGTGTTTACACATTCCTTTTGTAAATAAGGATTCCGGCACTGTTTTAATATTCAAGATTAGCCTTTTGTGTAATAGAAGATTTAAGTTCGATGACAATAATGACACCTGTACTTAAGGTTGAAAATAACGCATTTTTCCTTAATGGGAATATGTTGCAATATTTTGATAACGTAGGAATTGTATGTTAATTACGTGAGGCAACTGTCATTACTGTTCATTTAGGTTTTTCAAGGTATGCGATATGATTGAACTTTCACGCTGAACGTTTTGAAGATTTTCTGAGGCACAACACGTACTTTATTCCCTATTCGGGTTTATGATCCATGTGGGAAACAGTTTAATCCAAAATTTGGGCATGAGGTTGTTATCTTTATAACAAGTACTGAAAAGTGAAATGTGGTAAAAGTTGCTTTCTTCGAGAATAAGCAAATTTGTCTCAAAAATAAATATTATGTACATATCTGTAGTTTGAGTTACTTACCTTATTGTTGATGTAAATGTGTACTTAGGTTCTTTATAATTAGTTGTATTGTTACTTTCATTTTTTCTGTGAGTGACACTGTGTGAATGTACTTATCTTCATTAGGAAATAGATCTTTCTTTGTTCCTTTCTTTATCATAATTTTTTTTGGAGATGTTATCAGCTCCTTAGTGAATAGGTACCAGGCATGAATTCAATTTTAACTTGTAGATACCCACCACACGTCATGATTGTAAGTGGTATAGAGAGAGTAGATAGAAACAAGCATTTTTTAACATACCGAGGGCCCTAAATGCTTGGTTTGAGAACTACCATGCCCAAACATTTTTTTTTAAATTACACTTTTCACCGCAACTCTGTCTCCCCTTCTGTTATCTTACTAACAAGGGGAGCCCACCTACAGCAGCACCTAAGCGCACCAAAGGCCCATTGTAGTTCCCTCTCCTTCGCAACTGGGTTCAGAGAGTTCTTCACCCGCTTGGCACCTAGATCAAGTTTACCTGACTCACATAGCCTATCTAAAATTCACCGGCAGTCAAGGGCCATAGGCCATCGGAACCTGTCAACCTAAATATGATGTAAATACGGAAGGTTTATCTCTGTTCAAATTTGAAATATAAGTTACACTGAAGGGCTGTTAATGGTAGTGAGAATCTACAGGGTGTTGTTTCATCAGGAGTCATGTTCCGTTCCGTCGACATTGAAAATTGTATCTTGTGTTTGCATATGTTGTACACCCTGTACGTCGGTAACAGCACGTTTGCAGACTTATGTTTATATGAACTTTTAGTCGTAAAATAAGCCAAAGAATTAGCCGTATTTAGGAACATCCTGTATATGCTTATTGTGGTAACCTATACTGTGGTTCTATGCTGACCAAAGTAGAAGTTGATGCCAGGTCTCGGTTGAGTAAAAGTCGAGGGGTGAACCACTGGTGAAGTATGGTGTACAAGTGTGATGAAGTCCGTGAAGTTCATATGAAGTTTTGGTGAAGTTTAAGTGAACTATTGGAAAAATGCATGAATAAATATTAAGTTAGGAACAGAAGAATTAAAACTTTTGTTAGATAGTGGATCCTCAGTCAGCATTATTTTTATTTCTACTATAAGAAAATTTTTTTTCCGGGTCGATCTGAGACAATTTTTTTTTCGGGGGTCAAAAAAAGGCAGTGTAGAACCTTCCTTTTTTACCAAAAATCGACTGCACCAAAATTTCTCGGGAAAACACTTTTTCTTATTAATTTTGGTGCGTAGAATCCAAAACATTTCGTACTTTTTCGATCAGACTTCTCAATCAAAAGTTATAGACTAGAAACCAATTTCGAAAGAAAATTCAAAGGGCTGTAACTTTTGACCTAGTAGCCCAATCTTGGAACTGTTTGAAATTATGGATTCTACAGGCCACATTCTATAAGAAAATTTTTTTTCCGGGTCGATCTGAGACAATTTTTTTTTCGGGGGCCCAAAAAAAGGCAGTGTATAACCTTCCTTTTTTACCAAAAATCGACTACACCAAAATTTCTCGGGAAAACACTTTTTCTTATTAATTTGGGTGCGTAGAATCTAAATCAATTCGTACTTTTTCGATCAGACTTCTCAATCAAAAGTTATAGACTAGAAACCAATTTCGAAAAAAAATTCAAAGGGCTGTAACTTTTGAACTAGTAGCCCAATCGTGGAACTGTTTGAAATTATGGATTCTACAGGCCACATTCTATAAGAAAATTTTTTTTCGGGGCTCAAAAAAAGGCAGTGTAATATACCTTCCTTTTTTACGAAAAATCGACTGCACCAAAATTTCTCGGGAAAACACGTTTTCCGAGGTAAAAGTTTTATGCAGGGCTGTAATGTTGCAATGTTTGAGAGGAGGAAAAATATTTGTATTAATTGCACAGATGGTGTAAGGAATGTAGAACAGGTGGTTGTAGTGAGAATGTCAATCCTATAAAAAATTCCACCTATTTTGAAGCGAAAAGTATTACATTTTTGGACAAGGTCTTTCCATAGCTACACGGAATATGCTCTTTCAATTTAACTTCAGAAAACACCCTTTAATGGTCGGTGTGGTAATAAGGGCGAGCTTTACTATCACGCCAACTCTCGCAAAATGAGTGACTGCATTTTTTAACATTTTTAAAGTAGGTGGTTATAATACACTTTTGCAATTTTGGAAAGCTTTCCTTATATTCCTTGTATTTATAAAACTGTATTATTGTATGAATGTAAATGTTTCATCTTTTTCTCTAAGCTATAGACTACATCTTTCTAGACTGTCTACGGGCCCGCTTTCAAGTTAGTCTGTCTTGTGTAACCGCTTAGTCACATTTACAGGGTTTGGAAACCTCCAAGCAGAAAATAAATTTTATTCTCTACAGCAAATAGTCTCATTCCAACTCCAGTTTTCTTTACATTTTTTGCACAAATTAATTGTCTGGAACCTTTTTACCAGTTTCCATTTAATGTAGATCTAATAACACCCCACAAGGGAGATGCACAGTTTTGATTGACAAACTTGTTTTTTAACGTAACTAGCCACTATAAATATAGCGCAATGAACGTTTTGCACCTGGGGCCTTAACTCTTTGGGACACCCTGTACTTACAACACTAATCCCTCAAATTAAAATAGACCCCTTGTTGCAGACTTGACCGTTTATTCGTCTTATTGGAAACCGGAAGCTCGGCAGTCACGCGATCTGCCGCCGCAAAGCAGCTGGGCGAAGTACAAAAATTACACCCGCACGAATTATACACGTTACTCTCACGTACCGCATTGTACCTACGATCCACCAGTTGGGAAACGAGAATTGCGGCCGCCGAGGCCGTCCGGGCGATTGTGGCGAATGTGCCACAGTGGGAACCCGTCGGACTCGAATTCAAAACCGGTAGGTAAAATGCTGCGAGTCCGATTTTTGCTCAACATCGGCTTTATAGAGGAAACTCAGTCGTTATCGTGCGTCGGTAGACTGCAATTTAATCAATTTAATATGGAGAAGGTCCTAGCGAACAGTACACAACTCATGGCGTCCGAAGGGCGCGAGTACGATTTAGAGGAAGATTCCGCACTAGGTATAGACACAAAAGAGAAATTGGCCAAGCAGAGACAGCTCCTCAACGCTCGTCTAGGCTTGGACGTAGTTTCGAAAATCGGAATCGAAATTTCCGGCTTGTTTACGAACGAAGACTTGTCCACCCCGACGCCTGACGCACAAGAAAACAATTTTAAATGGGAGGACAATAATAGGGTATGCTCTCCAATGCGAAATGCTCTTAAAGACTACCATAAATTTCTCAGAAACCCCTCCGAGACATCGTATCGGGCCCGGGAAAAATCATTGGGTTAAGCTCGAGGGAGATGAACAGGGCGCGGCGGAAAGCGCGACAGGCAGTAAGTAAGCAGAGATCTCGGGAACCTGCCGATGATAATAATTTCGAAGAACCCGACAAAAAGAAGACAAAATTTGAAGAAGATAATAATTACACTAATTGCGGTAAGATTTTGTGTTCGTTTAGTTGCGTTCGTTCATGAATTTTTCTCTAGCGATTGAATGCGATGGAGGGGATTCCGGCGATTGGCCGTTGGAGTGGTTTTGTGATCAGTTAAGTCAAGACTTGTTTAGTAGTAGCTGGGAGTCACGTCACGGTGCCGCCACTGCACTTCGCGAGGTTATATCCGTCCATGGCGCTGGATCTGGAAAGTCCACTTACTTGTTACAGTCTGAGGTAATTGTGATTAATTAATAAACATTAAAAATTGTCTTCCCCAAAAAGAATTTTAATGTCGCCCGCGAGAAAAACCGAAAAGGAGCTTATTTTTGAACGCAATGACCTCGACTGGCGTGCCCTAACAACCAATAGAAAACCCGTATTTTCGATCGTGGCAACCGCGCTCGCTTTCCCTAATACGCTTCTTGTAATCACCAGACATACTTTCGTTCACGTTCGCTACGAAGTGGTATCTGTGTAAATTTCTTTGTTTTTCAAAATACAAATTCAAAACCAAATTTTGAAACACAATCGGCACTCTTAATATTTGGGGGCGAGATTGACTCCTTTATATTAACGAATTATTTTTCTAATTCTAGATGGATGAGTATCATCAAATTTGGTTAGAAGATATTGCTTTAAGATTACTATGCGTCTTGGCGTTGGATAGATTTGGAGATTTCGTGTCGGATGCAGTAGTCGCACCTGTCAGGGAAACCTGCGCCCAGTGCCTATGCGCCGTAATGAAGTTAATGGACGAGAAGAGCTGCAGGGAAACTTTAAAAGTACTCATTCAGCTTCTATCGCAAAAGGAATGGGAGGCCCGCCACGGCGGTCTGCTGGGTTTAAAGTACCTTCTCGCAGTAAGAGAAGACATGATCAACGTGCTTCTCTGCGATTCCTTTCCGTACATTCTCCAAGGGTTGTCCGATCCGGTCGATGACGTTAGCGCCGTTGCCGCGTCCGCTCTAATACCAATAGCGCCTAAACTGATGGATCTGGTACCGCAGTATGTCCCGACCGTCATTGAGAAACTATGGGACTTGCTTTCAGAGCAAGACGAACTAGCTGCCGCTTGTAACAGCTTTATGGGACTTTTAGCCTCGATTTTGAGTTTGCCAAAAGCGCAAATTTCGCTTCCTCCGCAACCGTTAAACGACGTAGTTCCGCGACTGTGGCCGTTTCTCAGTCACAACACCTCTTCAGTAAGGAAAGCGACTTTGCAAACTCTTAAAACGCTGACGGAGAAACCCATCAATAGCGAGATACTCCAGTGGGACGCCCAATTGTTGCAGGATGCAATGAGGCACGTTTTTCAACGGGTGCTGGTCGAGCCCAATGTGGATGTGCGGAACGTCGCCGAACAAGTGTGGACGAATCTCGTTAAAAATTCGGGACTTGTCGAACTGCTACACGCGTCCTGCCCGTTTATAAGTGTTTGGTTATGTTTAAGCATGCAGGGAGTTCGGATTGCGTTTGATTCTGGCATGTTTATTCGCGCGAAGACGTCTAGAGAACGGCGAAGGTATGCTATCGAGGGCATGCAGAAATTCGACGATACTGCGCCTCCAAAGTTATATCTTGGTGGTAAGCGAATCATGTCCCTCTAAAGCCCCTTGATATTCAAAGTACCATAACTTTATAATTATAACCCTGTATCACACTTTAAATACGCCTGTAGCTCTGTATACAAGGTTCATTCTTTAATTGTATTGGGGATACAGCAGAGCTGATAAAAACTAATACCAATGTACTTAAATCAATTTAATAATAATAATAATAATTTTTATTTCAAAACAAATGAATATTGGAAACATGTGATTGGCCGATCCCAATATTGACTTAAAATTTTTGAATTTGAGACTCTTGGTGATCTGACATGAAAGCTATCTGGGTCGCACAATGGATTCTATGCACTGGGTTTTTTATAAGAGTGTCTGCAATGCAGTTAACATAGCGATCAGAAGGGAAAAAAAAGTTTATTATGAAATTAAGTTTAGGGCAAATGATTCTAAAACACTGGTATAATTTGAGGCAGCTAAACTATACTAAAAAATGCAAGGATGACTCCCATGTACTCCCTTCGCACTTAGCAGATCCAGATGAGATTAACAACTGCTTTATAAATAATATTCCCATTTTAACTATTAACAGCTCTGAATTAATCCAGTATTATAATAATAATGTTAGAGGCACAGTCGGATCTAGTTTAACGTTTCGTAGAATTGAAGAAATGGAAGTGCTTAAGTACATTTCCACAATAAAATCCAACGCTGTAGGACATGATGGCATTGCCATAAGCATGATTAAACGCTGCTTGCTTTTTTTGTTACCATTCTTGACACATGTTGCTTCGCAAGATCTGAATTTCCTGCCACATGGAAAATTTCACACGTTATGCCTCTGTCTAAAGTAAATGTACCTAGCGAATTTAAAGATTTAAGACTTATTAGCATTTTGCCCGTTATGTCAAAAGTCATGGAAAAAGCCATCGAATCCCAACTCAGAAGCTACCTCATGCTAAACAATATTTTACCTGAACATCAATCTGGATTTAGATCGAGACATAGCTGTACCACAGATTTGCTTAAAGTAACAGACGATGTATTACATGCAAGAGACGCTGGAAAGGTTACCCTACTAATATTATAGATTACTCTAAAGCGTTCGATACGATCTCGCATGAGGTATTGCTGGCTATACTACATTATATTGGGGCTTCGCAATCTGGGATTTCACTAATTAATAGTTATCTCAATAATCGTCAGCAATCAGTATTTTGAAATGGTCAGGCATCAAAGTACTTAAATATCAAAAGAGGGGTCCCTCAGGGATCCATATTAGGACCTTGACTGTATTTAATTTACACACATGCTATCCCTTCTGTTCTAAAAGATTGCCAATATCACCTATATGCTGACAATACTCAGATATATTTTTCGTTTCATCTGAATTTACGTTACAGAGGAATATTAACTCCTCCGTCGCACAAACATGAATTTTTCAAGAGATCCTTTAGTTACCAAATTGTACATCTGTATAACAAGATACCATCTGATTTCAAAACATTAAGCCAAGTTAATTTTAAAAAAAGGCTGAGAATGCATTTCTTATATAAAAATTAATTTTTATGCACTTAATTGCTCCCTTCAGTTGAATCTGCCTGCTTTCGTGTCCCATTAATTCCAATAATATACCTATATGATTATGCGTGTATGAAACGTGTACCTATATGTATATAAATAATTATGTACCTTAGTGTTCACTGGAGATATTCTTTCTTTAATTTTTTACATGTTTATATTTTATCTGTGGCCATATCAATATTAATTTCTATATGTTATATCGGGTTAGGTGGAAGAGCAGCACATGGCATACATGTCATTGCTGAACCTCGCCCATTCCTAGTGAATAAAGGCATTTATTATTATTATTATTAATTAATTGATTGACAATGACAAAAATTTATTCCTAATGACATTAAAGTATTAAAATAAAATCCCTGAAAAAAAGAAAAGCTTCTTGGACATATAACCCCGCACTCAGGCGGTCGATAAATAAAATACAAAAATCTAGTTTTTTTAAGAAGCCAAACAATCTGGAATCTGATCAGGAAACGTTTGCGATATTCAGGTGCACTTAACAACAGAGACATAAAAACACTGGCTGACTCGAACTGGTTTGATAAGTAGATGAAAAATATTTGGTGGTTGCTTGTTCAGTAGAAACTTTAAACTTTTAATGAAGAACAAACCTTGTAGAATGGTTTTACTGAGCTGACAATTGCTTTGTTTCATTCTTGAACGATTTTATGGTGATCATGTGGTTTGACCTGCATTGTTTAATAAAATTTTAAAGCGTTCATTCTTATCAAACAAAATACGAGGCTTATTCATTTGAAATCCATCTTTGGTCAGATTAGCCTTGGAAACAATTGATGTTTTGCAAGGTGTACAGCGATTTTAAGTCTGTGACTTTAAAATAGCGTTATAGTACGTCGGGTACATGGCTAGAATGGGGAAAATACTGCACTTTTTGATTGGAATATGCAACTTTCTGTGGTAATAGTTAATACCAAAAGGCAACTTTTGAGATAGGGAGCCACTCGAAAATCCGTGCAGAAAACCAAAATGGTTGCCGTCAAAATGGCGCCATTAGGCGCAATATATTTTTTTGTATCTCTGCTCCTAATAGTCCGATTTTAATTTTTCTTTTTTATTGAAAGCTCTTGTGACGAGGAAACTTTTTTGCTATATAACATTTATCTCTAAAACTTAAGGATTTAGCACAATTTAAAAAAAGTGTTTTTTTACGAATTTGAATCACAAGTAAGCTCAACCCGATTTTTATGTGTAACTTATGTAAGGATTTGTATTATTCAGCACAATATTCTGACTCTTAAGGTCTGACGATGAATCGGTCTATACGATTCGAAGTCAATTAGCTAAAGAAATATTAAAATTCAATTATTTGAAAAACGAGTTTTATTGTATCAATTTATATCTACAAATAATACACTACGTCAAGAAAATAGTGGTTGCTATTTAAAAACAGTATGCCCCCTTTGACCGTGCAGAAGTATGCTACTGACCCCAAGTGTTTTTTTTATGAATTTGAATTACAAGTAAGCTCTTAATTGTGCAATATCCCGGTCTTTTCGACAAAAAAGGCCATCGTTTAGAAATTCAATCGATACAACCCCAAAACTCCTTGTATGTACCTTGCAAGTTAGGAAAATTTCAATCCGCCATGTTTTTTTTTTAAAAAATGCGCAATATTTGTTTCATCAGGCACGAGATCAAGCATTATGAAAATTGAAAGGAAACGCTTTGTCAATTTTTTTCTCTGAAAAACAGAAAATACACTCTGCAAGAAACACTCAGTATATCAACTTTAACTGTTACTCTCGCTCTTACTTATCCTATTTTATTTAACTAGTTGGTTTAAGATACGACGAATGTGAAATGTGGAGTGCTTATTTATCAGATCATGGGCTTTTTAAGGGTTTTCTCTCGGGTTTTCTTTAAGAATATTAACGGAATATTATGATTTCCAAGTTTTAGATACCTATTCATATAAATTGAATCATTTTTATTATACAGGGAATCCACCTTCTGTAAGCGGACGATAGATCCTCAATTGTTGAGATTAATGGTAACGGTTTGTTGGTACGAGAAGCCTGAGGAGAAGCCTAAAACGTATTTTTAGGTATATAGGGTGTTCTCAAGGACAACCTATACACTTTGATATTTTTTATAGGTATCCCCGGGTATCCCTTAACAAAAGAATTATTTTTGTAGGTCTTATCGTTTTTTTTTTTCGTAATTTTCGATATGCTTTTTATATAGGGTGAAAATTTTATCTTCAAAACATTTTTTAAAGAAGCTTTTTATGACATCCATAATTATAAAAAGTTTGCTACCAATCCGCGTACATTCAATTTGGGGTCAGTAGCATACTTCTGCACGGTCAAAGGGGGCATACTGTTTTTAAATAGCAACCACTATTTTCTTGACGTAGTGAATCATTTGTCGATACAAATTGATACAATAAAACTCGTTTTTCAAATAATTGAATTTTAATATTTCTTTAGCTAATCGACTTCGAATCGTATAGACCGATTCATCATCAGACCTTAAGAGTCAGAATATTGTGCTGAATAATACAAATCCTTACATAAGTTACACATAAAAATCGGGTTGAGCTTACTTGTGATTCAAATTCGTAAAAAAACACTTTTTTTAAATTGTGCTAAATCCTTAAGTTTTAGAGATAAATGTTATATAGCAAAAAAGTTTCCTCGTCACAAGAGCTTTCAATAAAAAAGAAAAATTAAATCGGACTATTAGGAGCAGAGATACAAAAAAATATATTGCGGCTAATCGCGCCATTTTGACGGCCACCATTTTGGTTTCCTGCATGGATTTTCGAGTGGCTCCCTATCTCAAAAGTTGCCTTTTGGTAGTAACTATTACCACGGAAAGTTGCATATTCCAATCAAAAAGTGCAGTTTTTTCTGGCGTACCCAACGTACTATTAGTTGCCGTCTAAATCGAGGTCCAAATATAATCAATTTTTGTACAAATTCATGCGTGAATGCAAGCAGTGAATGGAAACGCATATTTTGCGTATCCAGCTGTCAAGGAATGGTGTTGAGAATTTAAGAGTGGAAGAGGGGAGACGAATGATAAGCCACGACCAGGTGCATTGAGTACTGCATCAACAGAGAGGAATGGAGCATGTGTGGGAAACCTAATCGTGTAATTTGAATCAGAGCAATTTCAGAAAATGTTGGTTTTCAGTTGGATGAAGAAATACAACATGCAGTAAAAGAATTCTTCGAGCAGCAGCCATAAGATTTCTTTTAGCAGGGTATACATCGCTTCATGAGACAATGGGATATGTGCCTTAATTGTGGTCATAATTATTTTATTTGTAAACATATTTTCCAATAAATTTTTCCTGGATCAAAGTTGGGTTTCAATTGAACAAACATCATATTAAATTGATACATAAAAAGTAAGTAAGTACAAAATACCATTAAAATGGAGGAGTAAAAAACAAAAAGCCTTCATAAAGTTTGTACTTTACGTGTTATGTTGGGTTTAACAATCATTATCACTATCATTAAGGTAGCCAATAGATAAAAAGGTGTGGTTTCGTTGGTTGGCCACGCACAATAAACCTTTGTTTCTATTGACTATCTTAATGATTTAACCCACCATTAATGTCACACGAAAAATGTTGCTCAGGTGACATATACAGGTTGTTTCAAATTGGGTGGCACTATTGCGAACTTTCTTAGTGCGTAGAGTTGGAAAGACAGTTAAATTACCAAAAGTTGTCCTGTCTTACCGCTTCCCACGCCATTTTGAAACTATTGCAAATATCAATTTTATCTTGCAACCCCTCTCTTTTATTATCTTGCTCTCCGTAAGTCTGTCTGATGTCTTTTCATTTTTCAATGAATTGGGTAGATAGACCCTTGTGTAAAACTGCCACAATTTTAAATTTGGCTCACTTTTTCGCGAGTTTGCGGTACTTTGCATATCAAGGGAGTGTCAGGAAATGGCTCCCACCCCTCATAATCAAATCTTCACTTGGTCACTATTTTACTCTGTCCACAGGAAGCGAAACTACCCCTTTAGCTGTGAGGGAGGCTAACTCGATGCAGGTGCGGTGTATGGCTGCTAGAATGTTAGGTCATCTATCGTGCTACATAATCAAACCTGCTCCCGGAATCGACTACAGTCAAAATGTGGAAAAGCCAATCGACTGTTACGTGAAAGTCTTACTAGTTTACCTACAATCGAAATCTGCCCTGCAACGTTTAATGGCGGGCTTAGTTATAGCCGAATGGGCGAAGCTCGACAAGGGGACTGGCGAGTGTCCCATCTTACTACGGCAACGACTTCACGCGTGCCTATGCGAATATGTCTACTTCGACGAAATTGCGGTTAGCTTTACAAGACTGGCGCAGGAAACGAAGGACTTCATTGCCATGATGAAACACTACAAGGTTCCTATAACCGTGGAGAACGATAGCGTTTTAACACTGGAGCACATCCAACAATTGACCGGTCCCGATACCCACGTCACGCTGCAGAAGGTTAAACTGAAGCCAAAAGTGCAGGAGAGCTTGGAGGAGCGACGCAGAAACATTCAGGGCTCCGTGTCGCAAACGAGCAGCGATCAGTTCATGCTTAGCGTTAGTACTTTGGCGGCGCTATCCGGGGCGATCGTCATGTTCCATTCACTACCAGAGAAATTAACACCGGTCGTTAAACCGCTGATGGAATCGATTCGCAAGGAGAAAGATGAAAATTTGCAAAAGTTAACGGCCGAACATTTGGCGCAGTTACTGAATCAGTGTCGCGATCGCGCTCCATGTCCTAACGACAAGATTCTCGTCAACTTGTGCACGTTTTTAAGGTTAGTCAATTCTTGGCACTTAAATAAATAGGTATGCGTATGCAAGGATGTATATCCACTTCCTATTTTTCGCTGCTAAGTGATCCTTTTCTTCTTTTTTTTTTGTACGGTCATTGACAAAGGTAATGATTGTCTAATGCCGACAAAAAACCCTTAGTAACTTTAACTTAGCTCAAGCTAGGAAGCTAATAATAAATCTGTGTAATGTATTTAACATCAAATAATTTTTAATTTGCACGCTTTTACACACATAAACTACACATCTAAAAACAAATATTAGGGTAATTTGATCATTACTTTTACACAGGGTGTCCCATTAATGGTCACAGGTCAAATCTATGGAACCGTTAATTGCACAGCTTCGGGAAAAAAATTTTGTCAACAAAAGGGACCAAGAGAAATCGCTGGAAATTATTTTCAAGTTTCTAGCTTCGCCGCTAGAGGGCGTACGATTCATGGTTAAGTAGAAAAAAAGACTTTTGCTAAAATATACGCAACAAACAAACATTTTGATACAGCACATATTGCTCTAGCACAGGCACGTCAAACACGCGGCCCTCCGTTCTGAAACCTGCAGACCGTCACGATGTTTGCAAATTATAACATTTAATTGTACCGTGTATCCTATTTTGGTTGAGACTGCAGTGTATCTCGGCTGTTTTTAAAGATAGAGACTTGCGGTTTTCGCGAACCTGTGACACTTTTGTGAAACCACAGTCAGAATCAATCTAGCTTCGTTTGTTTCTGAGATGCAGGGGGCCGGCTCGTGTAGCGCAGTTTAGTTAAATCTGGACTGGTTGCTGGTTCGAATCCGGGTTCGGGCATGGATATTTGTAAATGTATAGTGGCTTGGGCCAAATTTTGAATTGAATTTCCTTTATTCCAAGTGCCTATGTATCAAATTTCGTTTAAATTCTTCCATAAATAAAAAAGTTGGCACTGCGCATGCGCAAAACCAAATTTTGAAATTGGCGTTTGATTTTCCTTTATTCCAAGTGCCTATGTATCAAATTTCATTCAAATACTTTCATAAGAAAAAAAGTTTGCAATTCGGTTTATAAAATTCGGGTAAAAAATGTGATTGTATAGTGGGTTGAGTGGGAAGAGTAGCAAATTGCTAACACTCCGCCCACTATAAAATAAAGGCAATAAAATAAAATAAAATAAATAAATGGTCGAGATGCGAAAAGGGCACTGTGAATTTTGAATCGATTCGACTCAACTTTTGGCATTGCGTATTATATGGCTAAAGCTATGCCCATATTGAATTTCATGCAATTCAGTTCATAACTAACGGAGATGTAAAACCGATCGGACATTTCTAAACAAAATTATCGTTCACACAGACAGATAGAGGAACAGACAGGCAAAGGAACTGACGGACAGACCAACAGACAGACGACAGACAACAATACAAAATTATAAATGATCTCTAGGATGGTTAATAAACGGAAAAAGTGTAAAATTATGGAACATGTAAAAAATGGTTTGTTGGTTTTTTTACAATAACTTTTTTAGCAATAAACGCAGAAAAAATTCCTTCCTTGGTGTAAGCCTCGACATCATAACGAACCAAATAGCGAAAAAAGTAGAACAATAGCTCTTAAGATAAAGAACTAGTAGCGTCGCAAAACGAGCGGACGGACGGACGGACAAAGTGGCCACAATAGCGCATTTTTTTTATTTTTGTGGAAATGCGCCAAAAAAGGTAAAAACTGCCTATTTTAGATATTGTTACGTAGAATCCAGTGGCGTAGTAAAAAAAACTTTTGGAGCACTGTTTCTGAGGTTTGACCCGAAGTTGGTTTTAAATGCAAAACGCTGTATATTTTAACGTCAATTTTTGTGTGTTCTTTTTCTTAATTACATTGATGTATCACAACTGGATTGTTTTAATTTGGGCGATAAAAATCAATAAAAACCTTTTTCTTACTCTTTTTAAATAGTAGGCCATGGATTCATTGAGATTTTGATTTTTTTATTGTATCCATGGTAACTAAGGCAGCCGATATCAATAAAAATGGCAGACGGCAGAAATATGTCATTTCAAAATGTTGAAAAATATAATATAATAAAAAAAATATAGGATCATACATCAATGTAATCACAAAAAAGAATTCAAAAAATTGTACATATACAGAGTGTTGCATTTAAAAGATACCAAGTTTGGGTCAAATCTCAGAAACGGTAGTCGACAATTTTCTTTTATTACGTCACCACCAGATTCTACGTAAAAATATCTAAAATAGGCAGTTTTACCTTTTAACCACCCCTACGCTAGTAAAAGAGGTATTTTACAGAAATACACGTTTTGAGGTACCAGAAATCCGAATCAAACAAAATTTTGATGTCACTGTGGTACCCATATTCTTAGACATAAAAGAAAGGGCTGTATTTTTTCGTGTTATTGTATTATTATTAATGTGAACTTTTTTATCATGTGGCCCGCAGTCAGATGTGGAAACCTTAAAATGGTAAATGAGTTTGACATGTCTGCCTAGCATATATGAGACGTGGGGGAAGGGGAATTGAATGTAACTTCGGTGTAGGTTAACCGATTTTCACATAACAGGTCTTGTTGGAAAGAGCTCTCTTCGTGGAATCAAATTTTACACGAATAGAGTCTTTAGTAAATGTGATGAGTGGTAGAGGGCGCGATGTGTTTTTTTGATTGCGGCAAATCTAGAAACTATACTGCATTCACTATGGCGCTGTGTTTGAAGATAAACACACACAGGAAAAATATAAAACGGTCCCAAATTATTGTAAAGCAGTGGCGTAACTAGGTAGGTGCCAAAGGTGGCGCGGCACCGCGCTCTGGATGGGGGAAGGCGCGGAGGGCACTAAGTCGGGATGGGCAGTACGTGGTGTACCGTATAGGCCAGTCATAAAAGACAAGAATGGCAGTTAAATTCTAATACTTTGCTAAAGTCGACTACAGGGTGCACTGAAATCCTCCTTTAGGATGAACCGAACATTGTTAAAAAGTAAAAAAATTATCAAAGTCTTTGTGTGAGATGTAAGGGATTTCAGCGCATTTTGTGTGGCAGATCAGGACTTTTATTAACCACAATCAATAAGATTTTGTCGGGGGCCCCATATTCCCTTTGTCGGTACCCACCTCCGACATCCCGTTCGCCCGGAATTCGCGTTTGAAGTTTTTACTCCACCGTTAGTAAGATCTTGTCGAGAGTTACCACACTCCCTTTGTCGGTACCCGCTTCCGACGCCGCCACAGACCCGCCGTTTGAATCAAAACACTTTTACCACGTTATCTTAAGTGCCTCAATATGAATGGCGACTGTGTTGAAAAATAGCCTAAGAGTGTAGCTTCCAAATGTATATAATAAAAGTTGTTTATTACACTTTCTTAATTTTTTATTTCAAAACGTCTGTTACGTTCTGGATGGCCCTTGTAGTACAAAGTTACAGCGGTAGGAAAAGGCTGCAGATTTAAAATAATAATAATACTTTATTTGTGATCTATACAATAGTCTGTATTAGTGTAACCAGCATTTGCACGCAATCATTTCTACGACTTGTGCCCCATGCCATAGTTAAATTTGACGCGAGAATTGGAAACACTATAAATAAATGTACTTATTTCTATTCTTCATTCAGTGAAAGATTTCGTTATTGAAAGCATCTTTCTAAAATTTAAGTATGCAAAATTTGTGTGTAAATTCGAAAGGGTGCAGTTTTTTTATAATTTCGTGTAAAGTTTCTCTCAAAAATAGCGCAGTGGTAAATGATAAGGCGCCAAAATCTGGTAGGGCGCCAAAACCTTATCTTGCACCGCTTTGAAAAATACCTAGTTACGCCACTGTTGTAAAGCAGAAATATCCAGCACTGCAAACAGAAATAAGTCTTTGACATTCACAGCTAATGACATTTCAACAGTTTAGTTGGCAACAGAAACTAACAGCTTGCAAAATTCGCTACTCGTTTTATATTTCAGTGTAATACTTACTTGTGTTTTAACCAATCACACTGAAAGTCAAAGTTTCCCTATGCTTTCTACCGCTACCTTCTTAAAATGAAGGTATAGGAACTAATTTCCAGCGATTTCTCTTGGCCTCTTTTGTTAACAAAAAATTCCCAAAGTTGTGCAATTATTGGTTCTATAGATATGACCTGTGATCTTTATTAATGGGACACCCTGTACATAGGCGTCTATAGGGGCGAAAATGCGCTTCGCTCTAGTGGGCGGCACCCTTAATACTGTAGGCTTACATGGTATCCTTCTATTTTATTTACAAATTCTAGATGTGATCCAGAATTTACTCCAGTAATTCATCACAACCAAGGTGCGATCTCCCCGCCCGCGGTATGCTCATCAACGCCCCTGTGGAATCGTTCCATCGGCAATTACAACGGAATCGTTATGTTAAACAATCTACAGAAGAACGCTGAGAGGGCGGCGTTTCGCAGACTGAACAGCGCGGGACGAGGGCCGGGACGGCCGCCTGCCACCGACATTCCACTGGAGGAGCTCTTCAAGGAAGAAAACGAAACGCAAAAGGCGAACCAAATTCAGAGGCGTGGCGCGACGCTGGCGCTGACCGAAATCGTGAAATATTTCGGCGAGAATCTCCCAGCGTTTCTGCCGAAGATGTGGGAGCTTATGGTGGGACAGTTGGTGAAAATAGTTAGTCCGGACGAGTTCGTCGCCGAGACCTGGCTGGGGAAGTGTAGCGAGTCGGAACAGTTAGTGTGGGCGTTGCAGGTTCTGGAGGTCACTTGCGATAGTGTGCACGTAAATTTGAGACCGGCCATGATGGACGATAGTATTCCGCGTATTTGTGTTCTATTAGCTCATCCTTTTAGGGCTGTGAGACATTTAGCTTCACGGTGTTTAGCCGCCCTCGCCAATATCGATTCGGTTCCCGTAATGGAGTTAGTTGTCGAAAGGGTGTTACCGATGTTGGGCGCCACCAGTAATGATATTGAAAGACTAGGAGCCGTCGAAGCTATCGCGTGTATTGTCGAGACTTTACAATTTAACATCGTTCCTTATGTCGTTCTTCTGGTCGTGCCGTTACTCGGTCGTATGTCCGACCAGAATCAGTGCGTGCGCCTAATGGGTACTCATAGCTTTGCGACGTTGGTACAACTCATGCCCTTAGATGGAGTCGTGCCTGAGCCGCCGTCTTTTAGAACCAGTGGGTTGGTCGGAAAGCGGAACAAGGAGCGGGAATTTTTGCAGCAGCTGCTGACGCCATCTAGCATTCCGGATTATGAAGTACCTGTACCGATCGATGCCGAATTGCGAAGTTATCAGCAAGCGGGCGTCAATTGGTTGGCATTTTTGAATAAATATAAGCTACATGGAATTTTGTGTGACGATATGGGCCTCGGCAAAACACTCCAATCCATCTGTATTTTGGCGGGCGATCATTACGTACGCGAGCAAGAGTACCTGAAAACGAGAGCTGCCGATTGTGAACATCTTCCGTCTCTAGTCATATGTCCGCCTACGCTTATAGGTATGTACTACATTTAGTTGATAGTACGAACATAGTGATCTTTACTGTCACAGACTAAAATACTACAGAAGGTTCAAGAGATCTGTTATGGTGAAAAATCTCTGCCAGCTAGCGCTCCCAACATAAAATGTTTTAAATCTTGGTTTAAAAAAAGAACCTCTATATTCTTCATGAATTAATGGATGACTATTCTATAATACATAAAGTGTGTCGCACAAAACGCAGATGTAATTGGTTGACAGTTTTGTTTTCTAATTTTCTATTTGGGCATTCTTTACTTAAATGTTCCGTTTTACAACATCTAAAACATTCCGTTTTCTTTGGTTTTGTGCAATCCCTATATCAAAATGGCATCAGGGCGTCTGTGTAACATTTGCATGTTAGTTTCTTCAACCAACGTTTTCCGTCTGATTTGCTCTCCCCGTCATACATCTCTATTGCCTTTGTCAAATCGCGCCGCTTCTGGCATTCGCGTTGGCGCCACTGCGTTATCCACGGGCGTCGGGGCCATTTGTGCGAACGTTCTTTCAAACATCACGTCGCTGGTCGCCTGATGTGAGATGTACACAAATTATGCTATTATATGTTCATTGAAGTGACTGTTTTTATACTAGACGACGTCTAACTCTCTCTTATCAATGTCATTTTCCGTTCCTCCTTCCTACTACCATTACCATTTCAATTATAAAAAGATCTTACAATACTTTCCTTTATCATATTCCACTCCTCTCTATTCCCTCCTATTTTTTTTCCTTGTTCTTCTAGTCACCTTCTGTACAACTCCACAGTGTTTCTTGTCCAGAACTGTATCTCCTTGATTTTTTTGCTTCTCTCCCTTGCTTATTTAAACACATTTCCATAGGTTGGTCATTAAATTCTATTCTTGTTCCTATCTTAAATTCTTCTACTTTTCCAGTATTTTTCATTTATTAAAGTATAATCAATTGCTGATCTTCCCCTTCCTCCCATTTTATGTGAATTGCTCGTCTCTTCCCCTCCACTTCCATTTTTCGTTCCTGTATTTCTGCCTCTTTAATTTCTTTTATTTTATTTTGCCTTTATTTTTGAGCGGGCGGGGTTTCAGCCAAGGCTGCTCTACCAACCCAACCCACTATACATTTACAAATATCCATACCCGAATCCGGATTAGAACCAGGGGCCCTTAGTAACACAGTTCAGCTTAACCTGAACTGCGGCAAATTTCCCTTTTTTTACCCCTGTTGAGATACTTTCTTTTGCTCTGCTCTTTCTATTTCCCTCTTAGCGAATGTATTCCCTCGATATTCTTTCTTTTCTTTTATCCATGATTCTATCAAACCAATGACTCCCTATCCTCTTATGAATTCCCAGAATTGAGCATTGAGCTAACCCCACCATGTTCCATAAAATCAATTTCATGTTACTGCGCTCCATTTTTATTTCACTCTGCTTTTTTCTCTTATTCCGTTGCACCCCCCCCCCCCCCCGACTCTGCCTTCTGTTACTATTAATTTCTCCATCCAAACCCCTCCTCTTGTGTTTTCTTTCTCTTTGCACTTACTAGCTCTTTTGCTTCTTTACTCTGTCTTTGCTCTTTTTCCCTATATTCCTGTCCTTTATCTTGATTTTTTGCCCTTTTTTCTTTCATCTATTTCCATTATCAATATTATCCATTTATTGTCATCTATGTATATGCCACCACTTCCTTTTAACTTTTCCTTACCCCTCATAATTTTCCTCTTCTTTTCCCATAGTTCCGCGACTATTATCTTATTTCCCCTACTTCAATTGCTCTCGCCTCTGCTTGTAGGTTTTGTTTTAACCATTTCTCCATGCTTTCTCCCTCTTTTCTTTTTTCCATCTATACTAATGTTATATTATTTCTCTCTTCTCTCTTTCTTTTCCTTATCCCATTGCTTTCCCATCTCTTCCTTAGGTTTCCGATTTGTTCCCGCATCGTCTTTTTCGCCTAATCTATTTTTTCTGTTTTCTTTGCCATCCATTTATTGTATCATATTTCCCTCTTTACTTTTATTCCTTCCATCGGCTTTTCAATCGATTCTTCTATGTTTTCCCCTGCCCTTATTTCGCTGTCCTCTATTCTCTCCTTTCTCTCCATCCTTTGTTCTGGAGATCTTATAACTTTCTTTCTCTTCAAACCACTCTCTCTCTTTCGCTTCTTTTCTTTTCATTCGCTGGGTTGAGGATTAATTTGTGTATACGCAACGTCAACTTTCTTATTTATTGAGATATTTTGTTGAAATTTTAAGGCTTCTAGTAAAGGCGAACATACTGCATATTGTAAAGACTAGATGTGCGCATGCGCAATCTTAATTTTTTGTTTCTAATACTGATCAGTGCATCATTTTTTAGCGCATTTCAAAATAAAAAAAAATGCGCTATTGTGGCCACTTTGTCCGTCCGTCCGCTCGTTTTGAGACGCTTTTTTTATCTTAAGAGCTATTGTTCTACTTTTTTCGCTATTTGGTTCGTTATGGTGTCGAGTCTTGCACCAGGGAAGGAATTTTTTCTGTACCACAAAAAAACAAAAAACCGTTTTTTACATGTTCCATAATTTTATACTTTTGTCGTTTATTAACGATCCTAGAGATCGTTTATAATTTTGCATTGCTGTCTGTGGTCTGCCTGTTGGTCTGTTCCTTTGTCTGTCTGTCCCTCTATCTGTCCTTGTGAATGATAACTTTGTTTAGAAATGTCCGATCGCTCTTACATCTCCGTTAGTTATGAACTGAATTGCAATAATACGCAATGCCAAAAGTGTAGTCGAATCGATTCAAAATTCACAGTGCCCTTTTCGCATCTCGACCATTTATAAACCGAATTGCAAACTTTTTTAATTATAAAAGTATTTAAATGAAATTTTATACATAGCCACTTGGAATAAAAGCAAATTTAACGCCAATTTCAAAATTTGGTTTTGCGCATGCGCAGTGTCAACTTTCTTATTTATGGAGGGATTTAAATGAAATTTGATACATAGCCACTTGGAACAATAGAAAATCTAACGTTAGCTTCAAAATTTAGGTTTGCGCATGCGCAGTTCTTTCATATTTGTGGCCGGATTTTTACTATTTTAACAAAAGTTGCATCTTACAACTAGGAAATGAATGCAAGTTGAAATGCGCTTTATGTAAATCGTTTACGATTACTTTTTAACTTGTTTTAAATTTAGGAGATATTGATTGATATCAATTAGCTCCCAAAATCAACAAGCCAAATGTAACAGCTGTAGTGTTTTAATCTGTGCTGATTATTAAACGTGCATACTGAGATCTTCCTCTCATTTTAGGACATTGGGTTTACGAAGTAGAAAAGTTTCTTTCGCAAAAATACTTAAATCCGTTGCAGTATAACGGAAATCCGACAGAAAGAGAGAAATTACGTAGGAAATTTAAAAAGCACAACCTGATTGTCGCGTCCTACGATATCGTACGTAAAGACATCTCTTTCTTTTCGGCGATAAAGTGGAATTACATAATTTTAGATGAAGGTCATATTATTAAAAATGGCAAGACGCGTACTAGTATTGCCATAAAGAATCTAGTCGCGAATCATAGACTGATTTTGAGCGGTACCCCCATACAAAATAACGTTTTGGAGCTGTGGAGTCTGTTTGACTTCCTAATGCCCGGCTTTTTGGGCACGGAGAAGCAATTCACCGCGCGATATTCGAAACCGATACTGGCGAGCAGGGATCCCAAGTGTTCGACGAAGGAGCAGGAGGCCGGAGCGCTCGCGATGGAATCTCTGCATCGGCAAGTTTTACCGTTTTTATTGCGAAGAATGAAGGAGGACGTTCTTGACGATCTACCGCCGAAGATTACTCAAGATTATTATTGCGAATTAAGCTCATTGCAGGAACAGCTTTATGATGATTTCTCAAAATCGCAAGCGCATCTCACTCTACAGGTAAGATTTCTCAGCCTTTCTTCCTATATTATTTTGGAAGTCTATAGCACTCACACATTTAATACTTTGGGAAAATAATCGATTGTACCGATTCATTGATTAATCAAATAATCGATTAATCAAGCACTTGATTAATCAAATAATCGATTAATCAAATAATCGATTAATAAAAATAATCGATTAATTTAAAAGAATAATCAAACCCGATTATCGATTATCATTTGATTATAATCGATTAATCGATTTTTTTGGCCAACGCTAGCTAGGATCACCTTTTTTTATTACCTTACCCATATGAGGGTTCCATGTTAACCTCTGGTCAAAGTTCACTCCCCCAATCTTGATTATTTTCCAGCAATCGTTCTCGACGGGCGCCACTGCCAGTTCAATGCAAGGCAACACGCACATCTTCCAGGCCTTGCGATACCTCCAAAATGTGTGCAACCATCCAAAGTTGGTTCTGAATTCGTCCCATCCTCAGTATTCGCAAATCATCGCTCAGCTGCAACAGCAACAGTCTCTGCTGGACGATATCAATCATTCCGCGAAGCTACCCGCCCTCAAGTGAGTACCAAACGCAAATCTGCATATGCTAGAAACGTAATTTATGTAGGCAACTTCTGCAAGACTGCGGTATTGGTTCGACCGAAACGCAAAATTCGGAATTGGTAATAAACCAACATCGCGCCTTAGTTTTTTGCCAGCTAAAGGCCATGTTGGACATAATCGAGTTCGATCTATTCAAGAAGAATATGCCGTCAGTTACCTACCTTCGACTGGACGGATCCATTCCTCCAGGACAAAGACATTCCGTTGTTACAAGGTACCTCAAAGATTAATCGATTAAAAGCTACTTTGATTACTTTTCAGGTTTAATAATGATCCGTCCATTGATGTGCTCTTACTCACGACGCAAGTCGGCGGGTTGGGATTAAATTTGACCGGTGCAGATACGGTTATTTTTGTCGAGCACGATTGGAATCCAATGAAAGACCTTCAAGCTATGGATCGGGCGCATAGGATCGGTCAGAGAAAAGTGGTGAACGTATATCGGTTGATCACTCGAAATACACTTGAGGAAAAGATTATGGGGTATGTATTGCTAGCAGACAACTAATGAAAAGCGTATTTTAATTGGAAAAATGAAGTGAATTGAGACTCAGTTTTTATTATTCTAAATAAAAAAATAAATAAAAAATAATAATTAAAAAAAAAAAGACTGTTTGAGTCTCAATTCACTTTATTTTTCCAATAAGAAATCACTCAAACACTTATGGGAGTCCTTCATCAACAAACATATTTTAATGTTCTTGTCTTTTTCAGGCTTCAGAAGTTCAAGGTCCAAACGGCGACAACCGTGATCACTGGAGAAAACAGTCGTCTCGAATCGATGGGCACCGATCAACTGCTCGATTTATTCTCACACAAGCCTCTAACCGGAAGCGGTTCTGTGGGCGGCCGCACAGATGCAAACGGCGTTCGCGCCTTATTAGACTCCCTGCCCGACTTGTGGGACGAAAGACAGTATGAGGATGAATACGATTTATCTCAGTTTATGGATAAGTTACAAAATTAATTTTTTTTGTATGCGTTTAATTAATAAATTGTCTCTAGTCGTTTTTGACGTACACTTAGAAGAGTTTTATAATTTAGTACAACGATCGATTCTGTATTAGGGCCTAATTTCTTGTATCCACTTGCATGTATTAAGTTGAGAATAATTTGGAATTATAGTTTTAATGATGTTAATGTATAGGTAGTGTGTGTGTAACTAGCCATAATTTATTTAAGTAACTTTAATTATCATATTTTACACGCTGTATATTGTAATAGAGGCTTAAACCACAGTTTATTATTAACCTTTAATTTTGATATTCTACTTTTATGTTTTTTGTTATATTTGAAGTGGGCGAGGTTGCAACAGTCTTGGTTGCAATCAGAGCTGGGCAGAATACTTTCAAAAAGTATTTGAATACTAAATACTTTTACATCCAGCACTAGCGAATACTAGATACAGATACATTGAAAAGTATTCAAATACTTTAGAATGTATTCGAATACTAATCCTAGCGATTTTGGAACAGATCCATTTTTGACCATCCGTTTGTCCGCGTGCATGCTAACTTGTTTAGAAACGTGCGATCATTTTGAAAATAGGTACACATGGTCTTAAGGATATAAGAAAGGTCCCTATTGTTTTTAAGTTACGTAGACTATCGAGTTCGGTATTCAGATGTATCGGATTTTTATATTTGATTTTGTGACAATGGAAACTTTCCCTAAACATTTCTAAATTGTTCTCAAATATTTGAATAACTTAAAAGTACTGCCTTTTTTTGAGGCCGGAAAAAAAATTGTCTGAGATCGACCGGGAAAACATTTTCTTATAGAATTTGGCCAGTAGAATCCATAATTTCAAACAGTTTGAAGATTGGACTACTAGTTCAAAAGTTACAGCCCTTTGAATTTTTTTTCGAAATTTGTTTTTTGTCCATAACTTTTTATTGAGAGGTCTAATTGAAAACGTACGGATTGTCTCAGATCGACCCAGAAAAAAAATTTTCTTATAGAATGTGGTCTGTAGAATCCATAATTTCAAACAGTTCCAAGAGTGGGCTACTAGTTCAAAAGTTACAGCCCTTTTAAATTTTCTTTCGAAATTGGTTTCTAGTCTATAACTTTTGATTGAGAAGTCTGATCGAAATTGGGCTACTAGTTCAAAAGTTACAGCCCTTTGAATTTTCTTTTGAAATTGGTTTCTAGTCTATAACTTGATTGAGAAGTCTGATCGAAAAAGTACGAATTGTTTTGGATTCTACGCACCAAAATTAATAAGAAAAAGTGTTTTCCCGAGAAATTTTGGAGCAGTCGATTTTTGGAAAAAAAGGAAGGTTGTACACTGCCTTTTTTTGAGGCCCGAAGAAAAAAATGTCTCGGATCGACCCGGAAAAAAATTTCCTTACTGAATGTGGCCTGTAGAATCCATAATTTCAAACAGTTCCAAGATTGGGCTACTAGTTCAAAAGTTACAGCCCTTTGATTTTTCTTTCGAAATTGGTTTCTAGTCCATAACTTTTGATTGAGAAGTCTGATCGAAAAAGTACGAATTGTTTTGGATTCTACGCAACAAAATTAATAAGGAAAAGTGTTTTCCCGAGAAATTTTGATGCAGTCGATTTTTGATAAAAAAGGAAGGTTATACTCTGCCTTTTTTTGAGGCCCGCAAAAAAAATTGTCTCAGATCGACCCGAAAAGAAATTTTCTTATATGTAGAATGTGGCCTGTAGAATCCATAATTTCAAACAGTTCCAAGATTGGGCTACTAGTTCAAAAGTTACAGCCCTTTGAATTTATTTTCGAAATTGGTTTCTAGTCTATAACTTTTGATTGAGAAGTCTGATCGAAAAAGTACGAATTGTTTTGGATACGCACCAAAATTAATAAGAAAAAGTGTTTTCGCGAGAAATTTTGGTTTAGTCGATTTTTGGTAAAAAAGGAAGGTTATACACTGCCTTTTTTTGAGGACCGAAAAAAAGTTGGAGTAGTCGATTTTTGGTAAAAAATTATGGGAAGTATTCGAATACTTCCCAAAGTATTCAACTACCTTGCGAAGTATTCGAATACTAAATATTTGTGTAAGTCTTTGAGTTACATCAAAGAGTATACAACGACTCTTTGGTTACATATACAAATACTGCTTCCATAAAAGTATTTAATTACAAAGTATTTGAATACTTTAAACTAAAAAGTATTTACAAAATCGAATACTGCCCAGCTCTGGTTGCAATAAAGGGTGTACACTCCCTCAGAAAGTTTTGAAATTCTGAACTAAAACGGTACCAAAATCCATTGAATTATTGTTTGTTGTCGGTTAGCTAAATTTTACCTTTTTTTTGTCGTTTTGCTTACTGTAGGGTTTTTCATTTGCTTCTCTGAAACTTGCTACAAAGTTTTCCACCTTGCCAGCAAAAATAAAACGACACTAAATGGTCATATCTCTGTATTGAAAGTAATTCAATTTCCTTGCCCAATGAATTTCTTACAAATACGATGTTTTTTGTTATGAACCTTTACAATTTTAATTGACCATTCTGTATTTCAAATAACCTAATTTTTCAAACTTAACACAATAGACTATACTTAAATATTAACAATTTTTTACTCTGTAAGAAAATAAACCGCAGATTATATGGAATTTGTGGAATCAAATTATACATTACTATTATTTATATCAGAAATTCAAAATTGGATAGATCCTTTAAGGCCAATTAATCAATTAAAGTTTCACGTTAAATTTTCTACGAATTCGAATTTCCCGGTATCCCACCTGGCGAGTCCCAACACTGGACCTCAATTTGCTTTGGCGGTGATGCTTCAGTGGGGTAGTCCGATGTTTCCCGGGAAATTTGGTGCGCGAGCACACTGATAATTATGTTACGAATTGTGTAATAATAATAATAATAGTGATCACCCCTTAGAGAAGGAGTCTAAGAATCACCCAGTTATCCTATGGTGGTGGATATACAGTCGTGCTCACCACCTCTGATTTGACAAGTTTGCCAATCCTCACCTATTTTAATGAGTAAAACACATAACATACCCTTCTCTCTCTCCCATGGCGATTAGGTTGGCTTGAATAAGCGGATCAAATACAAAAGATACTCTGGAAACACCCCTGAGACCCGCCGGATTAAGGTTATAACAGAGACTTCTTCCCGTCTTCCCACCTCCCAAGTCATCAGGTGTCCCTTCCGAATCTTCAGTATGCATACTTTTGAAATTAGACACAGAACACTTTCAAATGTGTCTATCTTTATTTGTTGTCATTAAACCTGGTACTAATAACAATCAAAGATTATCTTTGCACCAACAATGAATGGATCATGTAACGAATTTTATTCAAATGCATTGCGTGTCGCATCTTTCCACATTATTATAGACCATCAGAAATACTTTTCCCCCTGTACATGATAAGATAGTTTGTATCAACGTTCTATCTAACACCCCGTTAGTGAAAATGATTACTCACGATGTATTTGTTGTTCTGGTGGTGGTATTTATTGCATGTGTGATGTGCGCCTATTTCGAGAAGCTGTAAGTAATATTCTAGATTCAGAAGAAATTTATTTTGTAACCTACCATGTAGATGGGAGCAGCTTTCTCAAACGTTGCAGAAAGCTCATCCATCCATGTAGATAGTTTGGCACTAAAGTTTATCTAATGAAATTGAAAAAGGGCTCAAGAATGTCAAAATATTGTTTGTGTATATATATTTTCAAAGATTCATTGTTATACAGAAACTCATTAAAGCTATTACATTTAATAAAATGGCAGTTCGCTACACAAGTTTTAGCTACAGATCACAATATTAAGTGATAAGCATGGAAGCCTCACAGTATATATATATTTGATTACATGATATGATAAAATACATGATAAAAATATATCTATTCTTATATATGTTTATCTTCTATCACATTAAAGCTAATCTATCGTCAAGTGAACAGCATCAACACGAGTCAGACTTATGAATTGTACAACATTAATATTATATCGCTTATAATAATTGCTTCTTACATGATTGTTTATATAAGTTACATCGAAGCACCATGCATTGAGTACATACATCTTAGTTAAAAGGGTACCTAAGCGGGTAATGAGGTAATTTAGCGCAACTTGCACTTTGCGTTCCGAGACACTAACTGGGAAGTTGGGTTTACAATTGCGATACGATTAAAAGCAGATTAATGCTTTAACACTCTTAGACTTATACAGTATAAAAATCTTTTTGAATTTCTGGATATGTTTTAATGTTGAATACAAACTTGAGCAAAATATTACATCTCTTGTTTCCCGCAGTCCGTTTCTTATACACATATCGTAACAATGTATAACACTATTCAACAAACATTGCTTAGGCACCGTTTTAAACGATAACAGTTCAAGTATTTCGTAAGTAATGAGTTTACATATGCTAAAAACAGCGAAGTCGCATAGATCGAATCATTTCTCATGAAACACAAACGCTAAAAACTAGCACTACGTATATACAATTCGGTACATTTTTGTGTTAGTTAACATATCGGTACAAATATAACATATTCAATTGTGTCGCTAAAAATTGTATAAGCTCATAGAATTTCATTAGTCAGTCATTTTGTTTTAAATTAAACATTGTATAAGGGGGTTACAATAAATGAATAGTGGGGCGAAACACAAATACAAATTTACATTAAAATTAAACCACTAGCACTAATATATAAAACAATTTATAAATAAATAATTTAAAAACAGATACTTGTAAAATGAACGCTAATTTCCTAGATATCACAAACATATACAAATAAATGTTTTCATTTGCGAGTGATTATAAAAAGGTACTTAATACCTATCATTAAGTCATCAAGGAACTTGATTAATATTGTCGACAAACCCCCCGTTTGGTGTAATAAAAAATTATTTAAATCTACCAGTCTATAGAATTTACATTAAGTACGGTCCCGCCGTCATACCGACGTGAGCGCCTTTGTCGTGACAAATAATATGAACAAATTTTAAATTGTTAACGCTAAACAGATCGTTAAATATTTTCTTAGTGTCGAGTTGTCCCTTTTTCGTACCGTTAATGGAAGAATCCTGAGAAGACAATGCGTAAACGATCGCAGGTATGACGGACCTGCTCCGCTCGATGATATGATCGAGGTTCCAAGTTTGAAAAATTATCCGTGCCTCTCTACTCGTATAAGGATTAATACTGTGCATCGGCTTATATAAACATGCGCCCTTATCCCACCTTCCCTCGCAGAGGAATTTGCCGGTTTCGTCGCACAAACTCTTACATTTACGG